CCCCTAAGTTGAAACTCAACAGGGAAGTGCTGAAGGTCCCAGCATGGGGATGCTGATCACAGCTCCTGGGCAGTCTTTAATTCATGGATGCTAAGACAGAACAAAGTAATGCCAGGCAGGAGCCATGGATCACAACTCATCACAGACCAAGAACTCTCTCTGGCTGCTACTCATTATGTATTCAGATTACCCACCATTAAATATCTCCCCCTGGGAGCAAGAGCCAAAGCAGAGCATTTTGTGGAATCATTTTGCACTCTAAAATACTGACAAGTTTCCCTCTCCAAACAGACATTCAAAGAACGGTGAAGGGCTGGGCAGAAACAAAGGTGGCAGTTTATCCCACATGGGAAAAAAAAATAAAAAAAAAAAAAAAAAAAAGAAAAAATCTAAGTCACCACATCACAAGACTATTTCAGCTAAAAATGTCACTTGGAAATCAAACAGGGCCACATGGAAGTTGGTCTGAACACAATGAAAAAAAGAGGAGGGAGGAGTTGTAAATACAGCGATCTCTAAGTCACACGTCTCCGAGGAGCTGCCTCCTTGGGATACACGTGCTAACACTGGAGTGCTTAGTACCAGACGGTCTATTTGCTCACAATATTAAGGGGCATCTAGAATTAGCTATGGGAGGTTTAAAATCGCCTGCCGATTGGATAGAGAAAGGCTTGATCCAGAGATGGTCCGTCAGTCAAGAGTGTGGATTCCCTGGGCCTTCCTGATGACTGTCTTGAAACTAAAACAAAGAGACAACAGGGAAACATTTTAGAACAACTCTGGAAGAGCAGTGTGCCAAGAGGAGTGACAGACGACCTTCAGAGAGCAAACGTGAGTCACGCTGTCACCAGGCAGACAATGGCAATACAGCCCTGCATCATGACATTGCAGCACGAACCCAGAGTAAATATGAACGAAGAAGGAAATAAAAACATTGAAGTTGCATTAAAAAAATCATCAGAATTCATCAGAAATTATCAGAAGACACCCCTTCAGGCACTCCCTCACCTTGCTCACCACCTACCACCAACTAACCAGCAGTTAACAGAGGATGAGCAGAGGTAAACAGTCAGTGCTCCAGGAGGATGTGGTTCTGCCCCACCCCATTCTTCCCAGGGATAACTAGGATGGTATTTTACTGCCCTAGAAAAGTTGAGGCTAGTTACCTGGACTTCTCAACATAAATGGACAATCTCTTCTTTCTCCTTGCCTTCTTACTTCTCTAACACTATACCACATTCTTCTACAGTGTCTAAGAAAAATTCACCAAAACCGAGCCCCAAATTGATGACATAATTTAACAGAATAGGAAGAGAACAAGTCAAAAGCATTAAAACTGTCATTGCTGCTTCTCCTGCAGCATGAAGTGTTGCTCCAGGCCTTGGCCCATTAGTAAATACTGCTAACAAGCAATGCAAGAAATAAATTCCTTGCTAATATTCTTGGAATGTTCAATTTCCAACTGTATCTAAGTATTTGCAGGTCCAGCTTCTTTTTTTTTTTGAGACACAAAAGTTTCTCTTCAAGTCATGGAAAGTAACACATGCATTACAGAAATAAGAACGGCAGCAAAATCTACAAAATGTTCTAACACATTTTTCTTACACTTCTCACTCAGACATTTCTTCAGAATAGATCTGAAACGAGACAGTAAACTCGCTCATCAACCTGTCAGTGAAACGAGTTCACTATAAAAGCAATCAATACCACAGATTTGCCTGTCAGAAACTATAAACAGGATCATTTCTTACATAGACTTTTTGAGGTTTTTTTAATTAAATAATAGAGCAATACAGAGTTTGTCAAACTCCCTTGATACCTACAGTGCACAAGGAAGGAGTCATATTAGTCATCTGCAGCCGACATTCCTTTCACTGGATCTTTTTCTCTCATCTGAAAGAGGAAACAATATTTGAGTAGTGATTCTCACACACGTTATCTCAAAATGTATCAGGATGGAACACATTAAGCTACCTCCTGCATGTAAGACATTGATTATACCTGAGCATCCCAAATCAGTGGTTGTGAAATGCACAGGCAGGCACCATTTCTGGTTAAGCTGCAGGTTGGCTACAGGATTTGGAACCATTATCCAAGGGGCAGAGTGTACTTGAAACTATAATGAAATATCCTGAGGCATGAAGGGAGAGAAGGGTGCAGTGCAGGGCACAAATCACAGAACAAGGTTCTCATTATTACCAAACTTGTGTTTCTTAGAGTAAGAATCCTGTTACATACCCTCACTACCTGCTTATAGTATTTAGAGCTAAAAAACCTTTTACTCAACTGGTTTTTGGCAATGAAGGAGGACAAAACTGACCATTCAGCTTTGGGTAAAAGCGAACAGAAGATATTAAAGCAGTAAATGAATCACTGACACTCAGACCCTCATTACCTGTGGTTCAATACATTTCCTGGCTCAACAACGAACAGAAGTCCATAATGATCAGAAGGAGATGCCAGCACGATGGAGTCATGGCAGAACCATTCAAACCACACACAGCATGACCCAGATAGCAGGAGGACAGCACACACTCTGCTCTGACAGTGCACCAGTCTTTCCTCTCTACTGTACTGGAGAGAAGCATTTTCTCACACAACCCACACCTGCCCTGCTTTTCCACTGACCTCATCCAGCTGTCTCTTGGTCTCCTCCTCCATCCTACGAATGTCCTCCATAGTCAGATCAACCCACTTATCAAGCCAGCAAAAGAGCTGCCGATGGAAGTTTGTGAAGAGACGCTTTTCTTGCTGCAAAAAGAGGAGGAATAAAACACAAGCGAGCTTAGTCACAGGGCAATTACCATGGATCTACCCGGATTGTTACAGTTTTCAGAGATGTGTACACTGAAGAATCAGCTCTCTCGCCCACCTTTCTATATAGCTGCCACAATTGGAAACTGGAGATAGCTAAATTTTATTCTTTTAACAGAATATCTAATCTAGAGCCTTGAATCCCCAGAGAAAACGCCTTTTTTTTCCCCCAAGCCTAGACAGCAGTCTGCACACTGCATTGAAAGAATTAGTGAATGCTTTAGTAATTTCCTTTGATTTGACAGTATTGTTCTGACTGAAAAAAGTGCTCCAAGTTGGGTTTACTTAGAGCACAAGAGCAGGAGAAACAGGTATTTTTAAAATAATGCTTAAACTTGCTAAAAACTGGAAGTTAGGAAATGTGAAGGGCTGACATGCACCTATCTTGCTTTTTTCTTTTGCACTGACCTAAAAAAAATGCCTAAACTTGTTTTCCACAGCTGAAAACCTTTGTGCAGAGGTAACTAATGTGCACAAGCTGCTTCAGGTTTGAAGCAATTTATTTCCATTTTATAGGAGATAAGCTAGACAAAAGCATTATATTAGACAGGGATATAACATGCCTCTTGGAAAGTCCTCATTAAGGAAGGACACTTCAGTTTTACCCATTATGGTTTCATATCTGATAACCTGCTCTTATCAAAAGCAGCTTGACTACTTTGAATCAAACCTGCAGATGCTCATAAGAAGAAAGGGATTGAAGACATTGCTTTGTTCAGGCCTTTTGTTACACAGGTATTTGAAATCCTGTAGCACCATGGTCCTTCCCCTTTGGAGTTCTCCTTAGATTATATCACCAGAGAATTGCTTTTGCAGAAGCAGCACTGTAGTTTATCAATATTAACCACTGAGAAGTCTCTGTGATCTGAAGGCACTGGTGTTTTATGAACGTGGTATTGCCTGGAGAATCACACACACTGATTCCCAGGTGCAGTATCCTGGTGCAGCTCATGGGTTATGGACTCTGCTACAGAAAAAGCTCTTTTCAGGATACCAATTTTGCTTTAAGTTAATGAAGTTTCCTACCCTCTGCCTGTTTTTCAAGCAGCAGACTAGGAGAGGAAAACATGACTACAGCGCTAGGACTTGCCAGGAAGATCCTCAGCTGATCAGGATCAAATAGCTGAAGCTGTAACTATCCCCCCACAAAAATGTCTTGCCCCTCAGCAAAGTAATTCTAGTATAAATGGCATCATCTCTTCATTCACAAACCAACTACCAAGTGACTGCAATTCAGCCAATTTACCTTCATACACTGGAGTCAAAAGGGTTCAATAGCCAATTCACAGAAAATCAGCCAGCCCTGCCCTTGGATTAGCAACAAATTGAATCCACGTTTAACTCATTGCAGGATTTCAGAGGCCTTGACTACACTGCCTAAGGTGATATGACTGGATTTCAAGTTACTATCTCCAGGCAGGACACAATATCAGAAGCTTCTGAGGTGCTACAGCAGGTAGAAGATGAAACATGCCCCATTTCAACAACTCTCTTCATGAAATAACTCACCTTCTGTATAAAGTTCTCAACTTTATTTTGCAGGCCCCACCACTTGAACTTGACTGTTACCAGCTTGTAAGCACACATGTATGGACAATCTGACTGTTTCCCCAGGTCCTTCTGCAAAGACACAAAGATATTCACATTAAGACTCTGGCCAAGTGTCTCCAGGAAAGCAGCTCCTTCAGTCCTAACTATGAAATCTTTCCACAATTCCTCACAATCCTCTTGCACCCTTACACCTTGCTTATCTTTAACTGACTAGTTTTGTCACATCTTCTCTCACCCCTTTTTCAGGGTATAGAAGAGCATGATGAAAAAAGACCTTGGGTTTCTGCACAGGTTGCCTTCCCTGCATTTTGAGAGTGGACTATTCCTTCCCCTCCTCTGTTGTCCATTTTTTCTTCAATTAAAATTATGTCTTTCAGTATTTTCATTGTTATGACACGACTTGGTTTCCTTAGAAGTCTCTTGACAAAGTGTCCTTATCTAAAACATTTTGGAAATAGATTATATCATGAGTCACCCACATAATTATTAAGCCCTAGAGAAAACTCCATAAGGTTTCCTACTTCCTTTTACAGGAGCCATATACAGTCTTCCCAAGTGAATCGTATCAGCCTCAGCTTCTGCCAAGTTTGCCTCCTAGAGATCAGACTTGCACACCCATAGCTCCCCAGATCTCATTCAGGGTCCCTTTTAAAGACTAGTATCATATTTGCACTTGTAGAGTTTTCCCATTCCAAGGATTTCAGTGAAAGGTTAAATACTGCTGGTCATTACTCAGCTATTTCATCCTTGAATTCTCTTGGGTGGATCCTTGGGCTGAACACCAGACAGCTCTGGTGATTTCTTGGAACTCATTCTTTGTACCAAATTCCTTTAACTTTAGAACGGATTCACAGCTGAGTTCCCTGTTTCCTTCTACAAAAGTGGATCCAACATTTTACAGATATATCTTTGGCTCCAAGCCCCAGCATCTGTACCTCAGTCATGAGAGCTGATACAGCTCCTGAACTCATCAATACAGACCTTCCAGTTGGGACCCAGAGGTCCACGTCCAGTCTTGACAGACTTAAATTTTGCTGGATCTTCTTCTGCCTTGTAATCCTATTGGACAGACCCAGAGGATTAAACACAAGTTATCTACTGTTACCCAGCTGCTCACTCTCACAAAGGATGTATTTTTCTGTGCAAAGAACTAACCTCTAACTTCTCTTCTCAAGAGCTACTGTTTCCAGACTTCAACACTAGGTCAGGCACTCTTAAAGGAAACATATTTCTTCCCCCTGTGCTGGTCCTAGACCTATGTGAAGTGGTATCAAACTGATATGACCTTTGTAAGGCTATCAGAAGATCTTTAACCCCTCAGGATATATTTCCTGTAACCACTTGTTCTTTGGGAGCTAAACGCTGCTGCTCCAGAAAACAGCTACACTCTCTGGAGCTGTGGTATCCAGGATTTTTCACAGCACTGCATCAGTGTGACACTCACATGCTGCACACTAGAAGACAAGTACAGTCAAATTCATAGTACCATCAAAAAGAAAGAGGCTTCAGTTATGGTCCTTATTGCACTGGAAATAAGTTTGCAGCATTCAGATGCTATTTATGTTCTACCAATTCATCTTCAGTGGAAAGAAAAGCTAAAATAAGCACCCATTCTGGTTTAATACCCAAGACCAAGTTTGAGAACAGGTACCAAATATGGCATCAAATACTGTTTTAAAGTCGGGAAACTCAAACAACATCCCATTTTCCCATTTTCATGCAGTTGGTTTTTTTTTTCCAGTCCAGCACAGAAATATCCCTCACTTTCTTACAGTAACTGTAGTGACTCTTAGAACAAAGTATTAGCTACATGACTTCAAGATATACTTGTGAAGCCATGGGTCAGGTTCAAAAAGGAGGCAGGTTCAGAGAGATCCTGTATGGAAAGGGCAGTGTCATTCCCTGCCAGTCAAACACTCAGTCAGCTGCAGTGCTGTAGAACTGCACTGTCACATGCACTGTAAGAAGGCAACACATTTTACAGACAGTCTTGACAGAGCTTTTAAAAGAGCTCTTCCTCTAGCTTGCTGGAACTTTTAAGGAATGCCTTCACTTGTCCTGCTACCTGTGACCATTCCTGGGAACACAAGTTGTACATTATCCCTCTTTTAGCACAAGGCCTCCCACACTAGGGAGCTCTTACCCACCTACCATACCTTGGGAAGTACTTGACTCCGATCAGCAATGTCTATATAAATGGCTTCTACACTCTTCCATACCTCTGGCTCCAGTTTATGGACCTGCAGTGAAAGAACAAGACCAATTTAACTGGTTCAACTACAGAACATTCCCATTCTAAGATCATAAAAAGCCAGCAGGAGATGCAGACACCCAGAGCTCCCCTTCCACGCACAGAGAGGACACTGTGGTAAACACACAGTGAGAGATCTAAAGAAGCAAAGGTGCTCACACAGAACAAGTGTTTGGGGGCCAATTTTATTCACATATGTGAGAAGGCAAAGGAAGGAGGCTCTGCCTTGCTAGTGAGATAAGCATTTCAAATCCAGGAACACAGTGAATAGATAGTTCCACACAGCAATTCTCTAATCTAGCACAGAAAGCAGCATTGTGACATTAAAGAGATGAGTAAAATGACATGACACAAGTACTTACATTCTCTTGTGTTCCAAGATCTGATTTATGCCAGGTTTCAATTTTGATCAGGAAGTCATCCTTCATATACTCATTCTGTCATCAAAATAAAGCTTCTTGTTATTCTCAGGATATGTAACTTGTCTTCTTATTAGCTAGATAAGCATTAGGAGAGTCAACTCCAAGAATTATAATTTGACTGGGGTCTCAGGGAATTTCAGAATTATCTGTAAACACATCATTGCTTTTAAGGAATTAGCGATCAATTAATTTTGCTAAGATCAAATAAAGCACAAGCTGTTCACTGAAAAAACATAAGTTCCATTGTTTTAGTGAAACATTTGGAGTTTACAAATATCTTTTTCTTTAAAGGACAATATCTGTCACTCTTTTCATAGTTTAGAAGGGATAACATAAGTTAACTAGACAGAAACCGTCTTTTCAAAGAGATTATCGATCTAGCACTGAGTACATATTTTGATGCAATTCTTCAAATTAATAATAATATTAAACTGATGTGTTGAGAGCTTTTGACACTGGAAAGGGGAGGGACAAGAAGCACAGTTCTGCCAAGTAAGCAAAAAACTTTCCATTTCTCACTATTACTGTGAGCAGCAAAGGACTTCCAAAGGTAACCCAACCCTCCCTCAAGGGAGCAGAAACAAAAGCACAAGCCAGTGAAACACTCAGCATGTAAAAAGGAAATATCAAATTCAGAAGACAGATTACTCAAAAAGGACATCCTGGCATGGGCTAACTGCCTTTTCCTCAGTTTCCCCAGGCAGTGGTACATTCCCATTTGTAAAGCTGAGCATTGCTGCAGCACAGACACATCCCTGTCCCTGGTCACAAAGTGTTGGGAAGGGGGGTTAATCTATGTGATCTTACAGTGATAAAAGCTGAAGTGCCTTTAGCTAAAGAGCTTCTTATATCCAGAACATTTCAGACATTATTCCATAGATCATTAGTAAAATCAATACTTACTGTAATAACTGGTCCAAGAAATCAACACATGAAAAGAAAGAGATACAGTACTTTAGTGAAAAAAGACTGTACAGCAACCACTGCCCTCCTCCCAACTATCAGCAACACAGGGGCAGCTTCAGCTTCCCAAGGGGCTGCAGATACTACTGAGTTAAAAAAACATGGAAGTAGTTAAAAACCAGTGAAGTTCACCTCCTTCTCCTCTGGAAATTCTCAGGCTTGGAGAAACCCAGAGGAGCAGCAATTAATTATGTACTTCCACTTGTGCTCTCTGGACTCCAGCCAGCTGGATGAGAAGATGGAATAAGTATGTTCAGCTGACGGCATTTTACCAATCCTTTCTCAGCTTGCAGATAAGAAACCTCCCCATAGTTCTGGAGCAAACACATGCTGGATTTCAGGGCAATGAAGACCTCACTGTTCCTGCCCGGGGTAACCAGACCCTCTGCATCTCTGCTGCTCATGGTAACCAAACTCCCCGGACAGAGAGGCTCAATTATTCAACACAGAAAAGCCATTAAAGATCCTGTAACAGTCAGCATCTGTTCCACCTGAGCCATCAGGGCACGTTAGCAATTCTACTCAAGACTAAGGAAGTCTGAAGCTGGAGTGGAACTTCATTGTTCTGTTCTGGTCTGAAGTTTAACACGAGGGCTTTATTAAAGAGCAATTTGGTTTTAAAGGTACGATTGCAATTTGTGAGTTTCCAACCCAACATCCTGTAGACAGTTACCATCCCAAATCACCCACCATGCACATCCAGCTTCCTTAATTACCTACTGCTGGGTCTTGGATTGTTCCAACCCCCCAGCAGTCTGAAAATTGCTTTTTACAGCAATTTTACAGAAGGCCAATTATTTAGACTGACAAGTTGGGGTGGAGGGAGAGAACAAGGAAGCAGAGCTGAGGCTAATTCTTAAAAGGCTGAACTTAATCTCAAAGAACATTATTTCTGCAGGAAGTAGGATTTTTTTCCTGCTAGTGCCAACAAAATAATGCCTAAACCAGCAATAATTATAAATCAGGGCCTTCCCACCTTCCCATGACTACGTACCATGACTATGCAGCTGCTTTAAAACAGGTTCCTTCACCTTCTTAATTTCTTCCCTGTGGGGAAGACTCCTCATTTGTAAAGCAAACAAATTAATCTCTTTAGAAATGTCCATTGAAACTTAGATGCTCAGCTTGTTACAAATTAGGACTTGCTCTTGAGGTGTTACAGCAACAGCTCCTACACATCTCAGCTGAACTTGTAACTTCTCACTTTCTCGACATTTGGCCACAGGCCACACTTATACTCAGAAGAGTGGAACACACATCAAATTGCTTTTCTAAAAACATTTAAGCAACATTACATCAGACTGCAGAAAAGACCCAGGAACACTGTTCTCCTTGGCACAAGCCCACAGGTGTAACTATCAGACAATCCTTATCACTTTTTACTGTAGAAGTTGTGAACGCACACAACAACAATCTCATTTACTGTTCATACTCTCAAAGGAGCTCAGCAAGGCTTCCATTTGAAACACATAAACACAACATATTACAGCACAAACAAGTGTGCAGAATTGCAGGAAGTTATAAACTAGGCATTTAAATCCCCTCAATCTGCAGGACTGCTTTGATAATGGCACATAATATGCATATTAAAGTAATAATTGAGCTTTTCGGGGAGATATTGGGAAATGTAAGAAGGATGATCTTATATAATAAAAACAAAATACTATGAGGCACAATTTACTAAAAGTGCTGCTTTTTTCCAGTTTAGAAGGCTCTGTAATAGCTGATGTGCAAGCAAGCAGTGCCTCAGGGAGCAGCACACTGACACCCCCTTGATCCGGGAGGACACAGGCACAAACACCAGGAACTCCTACACTCAAACCAGGCTTAGCTCTTACTGTGTCCCTAGCCCTTAAATTCCAGACTCTGGTGAGAGGGATGAAAGCCCTGCCACTCACTGTAAGCCAGAAAGGCATTTTGTGCTGCCCAAAGACTCACATGAGGCCATCCAAGGGCTTCTCACGTACTACCAGAACACCCGAGAGCATCCCAAAGGAAAATGGTAAAGCACAAGGAATCCTACAGCACATCCATGGGTTCTTCCCTCCTGCCCAATACCAGCAAGGGAAGGTTTCAGCAACTTCTCTGAGCTTTTCTTGATTCATGTCAGGCTGGCAGATTCTCTAAACAGATTTATCAGCCTCCGCATCAAAACTGCCTTCTGCTCCAACCCCCACAACAAAGCCCCTTCTATCTCATATTATATTGCTGTTTATTACAGTTGAGGATTTTTTTGGGCTTTGTTATCATTTCTAGCATATCAAAATCTGAAATTTCTTTGACTGTGTTGGAAAATCCCGTACTTGATTTCAGTATCGCTTTTTTCTTTTTATTTTTACTTAAGCAGAATTTTAGCAGTGGGTAACTGAAGGATAAGCAGGTAGGAGTGAAAAAACAAGTAACTCCACACCTTTGTTTCAGACATTGGTGGAGAAGGAAAAGAGGAGGAGGAGGATAAAGCAGACATTTAAATCAGTTCAGTGTGCCTAACATGGAAAGAAGCTAGACATTTACTAGAGCATTTAAGTAATATGCAGCAAGAAAACTGCGTAAAAATTAGAAAGGTTGCAAATAACTTTGTTTCCACATCTTGAATTATGTGACACATTAAAAATGTATCGTGCAGTTGCTCACAGTATCTGAATTTGGTTGTATTTGAAATATGCACTCCACAAGACTGCAACATGTAACTTCACATACTTAAGTAACACCATCCTGTCCCACTGCAAAGCTTTTTCCTTCTTTTAAAACACTTCATTTAAAATTCTTTGAAGTAAACTGTTGAAAAATATTTTTTTCTATATTGAGTTTCAAGTACAGTTGGAATTTTTAGGTTTCTAGTTCCCATAGCAACTGTACCACTACCAACTAGCAGAAAATTAATCCTTCAAAGATACAAACAGCATAAAGCAACCAAAAGCACTACAGAAGTTTGGAGGCAAAGTCAAATTTTCGGTTCCTACAGCAGCAAAGATCAGAAAAACAGCAGTGGTTAAACTCTGTGGCTGGTAACCTCAGTAAGATATTAAACATTCCTGTAGAAAATGAGTTTGATGTTATTTCACCACTTTATAAAGCTTCCAGAGCCTCACCCCTGCCTTACACATGGATTCACTTCATGCTTGTTGGATGAGATTTGGACAACTGTAGCATTACCTGCTCAGCCTTCACCAACCTCAGACCCTGCAACTGAGCAAACACCATCACATAACACCTGCTCCCTTCAAACTGCACTAAGCAAGGGGCAACTGAGATCTGCCCTGTTCCCCTCTTGCATCTTCCACTGTTTTCCCCACCTGGCTACACCTGCACTTGAGTACATAAAATCATCCCTCATATTTATTTCATTAGTGTTACACATCTGTTCCCTTAGTAGGACTGATATGTTCCTCAGTCTGTTCTTTTCCCCTGTCGCTCAGTAGCAGCACAACAGACAAGGGCACTTCTTTTAAGTCCTCATATTTTGCTTTTCCTGACCACAGAAAGGTGGCAGAGAACAGAAATCCAAGATTTAAGAGCTGAAACAGCTTCCATACTGGTTGCTTCCTTCCTTATCCCCTCCTACCCTCAACCCCACCCTCAGAAACCAAAAAGCCAGAATCCAACAGTCCTTCCTCAGGCACTCACCAGTTCTGCAGTAGGGATAGGCATTCCATGCTTTTTCATGTATATTCAGAGCTCCTTCAGGGGCCAGCATTCTCACAAATGTTGGCACCTTGCTGCAGAATTTGGAAATAGGAAGAAAGGCATTGATAAGGACTTCATGTAATGAGAGCTCTGGCCCAGACACTGTGAGACAGGCAGGACATCACCTGGAATGCAAATGCTAGAAATATGCACTTGGGCACATGGGTGGAATTTGTAGAGTTCTCCCCACCCCCAGTACAATGTTTTCCAGAGATGCCAAACTGGACATGTTAATATAAACCTTCTTTACATAATGAAGGGTATGAAAAAGGAGAAAAAAAATATCAGAGGCTGAAAGCAGGTTGAAATCTAGGAGGTATTTTGCTCTTTAGCCAAATTCAAGTATGAAAACACGGGGTAACAGGATCAGACTTGCTTTGAAAAGCTCAAAGCCAAATTTTCTTGGGACAACAGCCACGTTTACAGGGGTGGGTAGGTGTACCAGCGATGCTCACTGCCAGCTGCTGTTACACTCCTGCGTGTCTTTCAGCCTTTACATAATCTGTGATTTACAGTTGGTGCAACCCTATTGCAGCTTCTTCCAGTTCCTCTTGCCCAACTCTGGGAGTACAGTGCTTCCCATACCTCTGTAAGTGGTAGATCTTGTGTGTGTACTGCCCACGCTCTCCATCTCTTTCGTAGGGTTCGTTCACCAGGACCTCCACTCCTTCGCCGCCTCCAGTTTCATTTTTACTGGCTTCTGCCACAGAATACAGCTGCCCCACTTGATACTGAGGAAGTTAAAGACACAGTATTATGACAGCTATAATTTAGCAGAAGTAATAACTTCACCAGATGATGCCAAGGACAAATTCATTACCTGGGGAGAGGGCAGAGAAAAGGACACTCACTTGTACAGCTGGATAAGAAGCTCATTTAATCTCATTTGATACAGAAAGCTTGAGTGGTAGTTAGGAGGAAAGCACTGCCAACAAAATAGTTACCTTTATCCCTTAAATCTCAAGCTCCAAACCAACACAAAATCAGGAGAAAGCAGAAAAGATTAAAGGAGCATCGGGATAACATTTAAAGAAAACACAGATGAATTCAGGAATACTGTAGCAAAATCCTTTGTTGTCACTCTTTTTGGCACAGGTGTCCCAGTTGTTCAGGTCAAGTGGAGAGTAAAGCACTGCCTGTCCTGAATCAATAAGCACACAGTACTGCATCCACAAGAGTCTCAGGGAACTTCACATGAAGTTTTTTTACAAAATGCTGTCACTGTCCCCCCTATTATTTTTCCTATGATCCTTGTTTTGGCTTGTGGTTTTTTTCTGTATCACACTTCCTCTTAGCCACAAGTTTAAACCACTAACAGGGAGAGCACAGAATTACAACATGCAGTCAAATTTTTATCCTGAGATTATTTTTCAGTCTCTTACTGACACTCACTTGGCACATTATTTGCCAGAAATCACTCAAACCACTTGATACTATACAGTTGCTTTCATAAGAGGCAACTTGCACAAATGTTTCACAGGGAAGAGCAGAAGAAAAACCAAGAACATGAACAAAAGAGAACATTCTTCTCTGCATAAGATGTTAAGATTAATACACTCTTGCCTCTAGTAGCTACAAAAGGGGATGCAGAGCTCAAAAGAAACATGATCAAATGAAGAAAATTCACTCAGGTCTCTCTGAGGCAGAGTTAGATGAGCAAAGTTTGAGGATGAAGAAGCTACAGCACTAAGTCAAAAGGAAGTGTTCTAACTTAAAAGAGTTAAGTCTTCAGAACTCTTAAGCAAGCAAAACAGCAACTGTTGCCAAAGGCAACAGAACAGAGAGGCAATCTGAAAGGGTAATCCACAAAGTGTTTGGCATCAGAAGTGCAATGACTTAAAAAACCCCAACCAAAATCAAAAAAATCTCCAAAACATAACTACAAAGCAATGGAAAGCTGTTTAGGCTGTCTTCTGCAGCACAGAGCTCTGCACCAGAGTCAGGAATAACACTTAGCACACTGAAACCCAGCCTGGAAAAGTGGAATACAACCCAGAAATACTTCACTGGGCTGGTACATCTTCAGCAACGATGGAAGATTTCTACAGTCGTTAAATTTTGTTGTTGGAGTATCCAAAATAACAACAGCTCCCGAGCTCTCTGGTGTTTTGTACCATCTGGTGCTAACAAAGACCACGGAAACATTTATTCCTACTGGAAGAGCAGCTTTGCTGGATCTCTCCAGAAGGTGCTGGCCCAGGTTATATGAGCAGCCCTTGCTTGGCTGGACAGTTCCTGCACTGGCACAGCAGGTTGGGTTTCAGTCTGGATTCTGGGCTGCAATACAAGGTCCTGACTTCTGACATTTCATACACCACACTGCTTTCCTTATGGCTCCCTACATATGACCCATACAGAAAAGAATATTCACCTCCCTCCAGAAGAGCAAAACATGAAGAGTTGTGAAACCTTAGAAGCAAAGTTTCTTTAGCACAGTTAGAGTCACACATTCATAGTGAAGAAAGTTTGTGATGAGTTTGATAAATACAGTATTAGAGGGGAGGAAGGAATGGCTGTGACTGGTTTGCAGCAGGTCCCAGGACAGGTCTCCAGGGGTACAAACTTATTCCTCTTAGTAACAATCTCTTATTCATTCCTTCTCCCTTTCAAATATGTGGGTCAAAGTTCACACACTAAGAGGATAAACCCTTTGGTTTAACATCTTCACCATTTAAACTTCCCTGTTATTTCTGAGCCTTTAATCGTATTGATAAAAAAGCCCAAATAAAACTGTCCCAATGAACAAATCCCACAGCATCTGCCTGCAAAGGTTAACAGAGAAACAGATCCTGGCTCTGTGAATCTGGACTCCAGACAGCTCCTGACAGACCTATCCTTGCAAATCTGAGAGCTCCAAAATAACCTTCTTCTCTTCTGCAAGAAATCATCCCTCTTGATCTGTGTCACAACACCTCTTATGTAGCTGACAGGATATCTTCATTACACCAAAACTCTTTTAGAAGGCCTGATTTCAACACAGCCATCTCCAAGAACAGTTGTTTTCCCAAAAGCAGCTTTGAACACAACTAATAAATAAGATTCCTCTGCGTTTGGCAAGCTCCTTCCCATGTGAAAGGAACAAAGAGGCAGCACAGAATGTGTACACACAGCTCTAATCCATACCAGAATTTCGGTGGCAGCTGGCACGACACCCACACAGCCGCTCAAGTCCACGCTCCCAAAGTTGGCACCGCACAACACGACGTTGGTCAGAGTATGAGAGCAAAGGTTGGCACCCAAGATACAACAGGTGTTTTCCTTTTGGTCCCTGCAGTGGGACAATGTATAAAACACGGGAATGCAGCTTGCAGCCCGCACTTGAGCAGGACCACATTTTGGCAGTTTCCTTGTAGAAGACAGTCTGCTACAGTCTAACTCCTACATCCCAGCCTTCAAGTTTTAGTCATCACCAGGGCTTCTCTTCCCCTATTTTATTCCCATCTTAGCAGTTACTTGGCTAACTAGTCAGCTTTGATCTCCTCAGTGGCCTCCTAATCACTAGTTTTCCCTTGATTTCCGTACTATTGGTTAAGCTCCATTTGCCAGGGGTGAGGAGACTGAACACAGAATCCTCAGCATATCACAGAACCACACAGAAGGCTCTGTCAACCCTTTGATGATGCCTCAAAGTTACAATTAATTTCATTCCCTATTTTACACATTGGCATCAGACTTCTGTCAACAATCTGCATGCAGAAGGTGTGAACTCTTATGTCTTTGGAGCAAAAATGGCCCATATTAAAGTGAAATCAGAAGTCCTCTTGCTAGCCAGAGATGCTTAATGAACAGCCACACAGTCAAGAGCCATAACAAGTCTCCAGAGCCCTATTTAAGAGTTTTGTACACAAGGAAATCCTTGAAAGCAATGAAGTTTTAACAGCTGGTTTGTAGTACAGACATAAGTGTGGTGACCAAGTGATGCACAGATGTGTCAGCATCTTTCCACACAGGAAGGGAGTGAAGCAATAAGCAGAGCAGTAGTCATCCTCTGAGTCAACACTGGAAATAACCTTTCTTCTTAAGCACACCTTTAACACTGTCAGGTCACCCAAGTCCATATGCAAAGGTAAGTGAACTTTAGAACTCTTTCCACTCATGGAACTGGCTCCTGAAATCTGGTCTATCATGGGAAAAACACCAGACCTTGAAATGAGGCATCACTCAGGGACATGGTGACACTACACAAATTTCGTGAGAAATTAAGTTTGGTCAAGTTGGGGATCTATTTGCAATCCAAGCACTGGACCCAGGGTAGAGGAACACACCTCCTGAAAACAGATAACCCCGGGGCACCCTCAGAAAAGGAGGTTGCTCAAGAGCAAAAGATTCACTTATAGCCCAGAAGCTCAATGCCCCACCCAGGCAGCCCACACACAAGGCTCAAACGTGCCTGGCACTGAACAGCCACAGAGGGAAACGAGCACAGCCAGGGACTCGCTTTAACTGGATGAAGGCTAATCCTGGTATCAGAGAACTCAGAAAAACCCTGTGTTGGGTTCCATCCAATCTAACCCCCTCAAAGAAACAATTTCTATACTGACCTGCATATTCTTTTTACACAGCTTGATACCAAGGAGCCATATCACTACCAGGCAGGCTCCTGTTATTCAGGCTGAGGTCTTCTGTCCACTGGGCTTGAGTACCTTGCCATTTACCTTGTCTAACCTGCAAGTTTGCATCCTTTGCTTACTTGGTGAAGGTTATCATGTTAGTCCTTCCTTTGACAAGGACTTCCCCACACAAATAGCACTCAGGCACAATAAAAGACTCAAACATTCCTACTGTAACACTTCAGTCTGAATTCTGTTAAAACTGCTTGAAACAGATGAATGCAGAAAGCATAAAAGCTACAGGTAGGGAGCTGGCAACAGACAGACTTCTGGCATTATAACATAGATCTAAAATCACTCTCTGATCAGAGGCCCAGACTTTCCATCAGCATGTGATGCCTGTCACAGCAGACTGATCCACAGGAACAAGAAACTCAGTTCAGACACTGCTTTTGTTTTACTAGCCAGCCCCATGGCTGCAGGAATGCACCACACCACCTCCTAAACTGTGTTCTGTCGAAAGAGTAGAGAGTTATAAAAGGGATATGCTTAAAACAGTGCTGCCATGAGCCAGCCCACCACTGTCTACGCCACAGTAGCTGCTATATTCAGAGGAAAGAAAAATGAACAAGAGGGCTGTTATCACAGCTCTCCTCAAGAGTTAGAACAAGCTCTTGATCAGAGCTCACAATCCTAAGGCTTACAGCCAAGGATCACATGAAAAAAAAATACATCCAGAAGAAGAAATCTGCAGAGGTCCTGTGGACTCTGCTAGTATGAAGGTTAAAAAGTTCAAAACATTTATATGGTGAGATTGTCTGTAAGAGTGGTGTTCAGTCAGAAGGGAGGAAGGAAAGGCAAGCTGCAACTCAGAGGAAAGAGCAGGGAAACAGCCACTGACTCTGCACAGCTACTCCATGGCCAATCTGGTGATCAAAATCACCACACCCATTATAAACTACACTTCTTCTCTCATTTAGAGCTTTACCTAAACAAAAAGGAAGTTTTCTGTTTGTAAGAGCTAGAGAGGATAGGTCTTAAAGAGTCCAAGGAAAGATATACACAATCTTATTTTTTGCTAAACCAGCCTCATAAATCAGGAGAAATTCTTGATCTTTGCCTACAAGTTTAAAAACAAAGAGCTCCAGCAACACACAGTTCAAAGGGTAACTTAAAATTGTACTGAAGCTTCCTCTTCATGTTAGAAAAGTAAAGAACAATAGTACTAATCAAAAGGAAACTGCACTTTAAAATAGTCTGTCAACTCTAGATTTATAATCAGCATATCTGAAAGTATAAGAGATCAGTGCCCTCAGACTTTAATTTGGTCAAAATGATAGCGAATGAATAACAGCTCACAGGGGTCCTGAAGACAGCTATATCCTTCTCTGGCATGTTCCAGGTTTTGTTCATACAAACTGCTTTGATCACAAGTTTATTTAAAGTCCTAAAGAAAGAAGGCAAGAAGAAAAGAGCTTACCTCCTCCACAGACACAGGCAGGATAACGCGGCTGAAAGGGAACACAGAAACAGAATGTTAACAAATCTCCCAAAATTTACACAGCACATTCCTCACAGCAATGGCTGCACAGCTCTACCCTCCACCCAGTATTTCAGCACCCACCCAGTGCTACCATCCCTAGCCCTTACTCTTTAATCCCAAGACTATTTATACAATAACCTCAAAGAGAACCAACATGAGATGGGGCATAATTGCAACCCTCTCCTAAAACTGTGTAATTCAACAGACCCTCCCTGGTGATACCTCACTGGCCTACAAATCTACGCAGCACCGACACAGTCGTGTGTTCCCTCTCATCCATCCTTTCAGCAGTCACATCTTATTTCTCATCAAGCTGCTGCAGAGGGTTGCTCTGGGCCTCAGCAGTTCTGCTGAGCTCTGCCACAGCCACAAGGCACTGCACGATTCGCTCACATGTCCCAAACCAGCAGGAAACAGCCCTGAAGAGAGAGCAGAGGGAAGGCTTTCTCAGAGCTCACTGCACAGGAAGGTGCTGCCGCTTCTATACGTGAGTCACTTCTTTTCACATGGTGGTTTCCTGAACGCTTCTTAGAATTGACTGACTGGACAGCAGAGCAAAAACTGCCAGAAATCACCCTTAGGTTTTTTTGGAAAAGAATGAATGTAAAGCTGACAAAAATGCACACGTGTTGAGGCCTTTAAAAATATTGTATCTGTCTAAAAAAACTAGATTTGTATTAAACTTCTGATGCTGAACAAGGAACCAATGCAAGATACGGATATGAAATGGATACAGCTACTGTGGGTGGAAGAATTCCCAATTCTTTGGGAATTAGCCTCAAAGAAACTAGGACATAATGGGATCAGGAAAAAAAGTCCTCTTTATTAGCAAACTGATTTTTAAAAAGCAGTACTGGTGAAAATTGAATTATTTTTTTACATATTGCCAACAAGACACCACAAGAACAAACTGCAAGAGAGGCAAAAGTTTACAGATTATGTAAGATTACTTATGACAGCAATGCTTTATGCTGGCTGCAAAGTACTGCAGAAAGAGCTACTGAGAACTGCAGATGAAGTTCCGTGTCAATAAAAGCAGAATAATGCACTACAGGCACTTGTTTTCACCAAACACATGGAGTTACTGAGCCCCAAATTGGCTATTGCCAACAAATATCTTGTGTCTTCATGAAAAAGCATCTGGAAACATCAGTTCAAAAGTAAACCCAACATCACAACAAACACACACAAAGAGACAATTATGTCATTACAATCTCTTGTGTATTGATGTCTTGAATATTGCACATAGTGCTGATCACCTCATCTCAAAGAGGATAAAAAAACAAGTGAAGGAAGGGAAAAAAGATAATTGGAAATGGGAAAAAGCTTCCATGTGAGAAGAAAGCAGTTAGACCTGGCCTTTCCAGCTTGGGATCAAAAACAGCTAAAGGGTTCAGGTATGAAGGACCACAAGAGATCATGAATGGTGTGAAAAAGTGAATGGAGAAGGAACAGTGGCTGGCTTACACCAGAGCAATCAGTAAGCAACAAATTTTAGACCAAATCAAGTGTACTTCTTTACATCATGTCTACTGAAGTCGTGGGATTCCTTGCCAGACATGGAAGTATAAGCAATTTTTAAATGGGATTTGATCAAGTCATGGAAATCCATATGCCACTGAACAATCGTTGTACTCACTATTATATATTGTTTCCTGAAAATATCTGCTAAAAGGCAAGATGGAAGAGGATCTTTGGTCCAATTCAGTATGGTGTTCCTCACATATGGGAGGACAAAAAAAAGGAAATGGATTTTCACAGGTAGATCTTATCAAGCATGACATTAGGTTAGTTACCTGGATAAAACTGCAGTAAGAATGAAAAGAAGGACAGGATGATAAGTAAAGGTGAAAGATCAAGAAAAAGGGAAAAAACAGTGGCTTTGGAATGGAGTTAAAATATTTGTCTTTAGAAAATCTGGTGTAAAAACATTGATGTGGGCTAATGAAATTCCATTTAGGAAACTGGAAGACACTAGATCTGAATATTTATCTTAGACTTCAATGTTCATCAACAAAGAAACAGAAACACAAACAAGTTCAATGGTTTACAATTTGTTCAGCAAGCCAAGAACGCAGGAGTGAATAACACTTATAGGTAGTCAAGTAATAAAGAAGGAGGAGGGATGACTTCTCAAGAGGATCTGGAGGAAAAGCTTCACAGGAGCAGCAACGGGAACAAAAATTACTAAGTTTAAGACAGAACTCGCTCAACTTACGAGAAATTATACAGTGTGGTTGGCCTGAAAATGGTGAGGAACAAACATTTAAGATCCCTCTCAGATTAAGATCTGTCTCAAATGGCAGCAAAGGGAAGTACAGCTGCAGAGAAGGTCAGTGCCATCATCATCACTTCACAGGAAAGGGAAGTGAGTTTCCAGGCTCTGATTCTCCTCAAGCTCTTCTGATGCAGCTTAAAGGAGAATAAGGAGAGCAAGCAAGGCTTCAACCAGCATTTACCAACCCTGAAACCAAAAACATGCAAACAAGTGAACAAAATCCACGCAGCTCATCTGCAGCACGGATGGGTAGAAACAAAAGGTAAGTCTGAAAGTCTGATAGGACATCAAACGAAAAGTTAAAGCCATCACTGCATAACCATCAGGACAGGAATCTGCACAAAAATGATGATACAGACTGACTGACAATAAAACATGTGACATCAGGTTTTTGTTATATTGCTCTATATCTGTAATGTCTCCTAAAATACCTGTGGAGCAGATAATAAAACCTATCTGATTGAGTAGGGAGAATGTGACAAGGGGTCACAGAGATGGAAGAATAATCTGTTCAGATGACATGCAGTTACAGACCACTTATATTTTTACCATCTACACTAGGTAGGCTGTAAGGTACCTGTATGCAGTGTTTGGGCATGCAGAACTAATATAAATAAAAGCAAAACAGTCATAGCAAAGTACTTCAAATAGCCAGCTCACACCAAAAACAAGTGGTTTCTATATGCCTTAAACAACTGCTTCCCGGAACAGGAGATTTCATCAACAAACATCTCAAATAGGATGTAAAATGGGCAACTTCAACATACAACATCAAGGAAATACATACCAGAACCAATACAATGACACAGCTCAGAATGTGCAACCCTTAGAGACGGCTGGGAATCCCAAGAAGTGAAAAATAAATGCTCATTTCAAAGCACAGCAGCAACCTTGACTGTCCTTAGAGCCACATATGTCTTACTAAGGACACAATGAAGGGAAGAAAGGGGACAGAACAATGTAACTAATGACAACATTCAAAAGGTTTGCTGGCCCTTCTGAAAATAGAAATGGAAGCCTGTAAAAAGAAACAAATGCAGGAATTCTGGTTTTTTAACCTCTAGTCTTAACGTTTACACTTTCACATCTTGTTTCTGAAACAGGCAGTGTGAAAGACCAGCAGACGTGTTGATTTGCTGAGGTAAATAATACCGAGTAAAATGACTTTTGGAAGTGATGCTCATCAAAATGAACTGTTCATATGCTCAGAAATCTGAAAATTCCAAGGACAGATGATCCCACCTTCACAGCACAGCTCCCTGGCAATGAGCTTTACTGTGGTACAGGGCAAGAGGCTGTGAGCAGAAGCATGAAAAAGATAAAAAAAATGACCCAAGGTGCTGTAAGAGGGAAAGTAGTAAATTCATAGGAAAATATCAACAAAACAGAGGTTATAGAATGAGTTAATTATATTTTCATGCACCTGAAACTAAGCACTCAGCCCAGGTTTCTGTCTGTTATCCAGTTTAAGGCTACAGAAGGTAACAATGTCTCTGTGTTACAAAGAGCAGTCCTGCTGCTGCTCTTGAATTCTACACTCCTATTGTTGGATAAAAATAGCAAGGGTTTAAGGATTGGGGGAAAAAAAGTTAATCAAGTTTAAAGACCAGTACAAGGATCAGTACAACTCTCAATATAGTTTTAATATTTAAATCCAACCCATGGTCCATAATCTGGCAAAGTAATTACTATAAAGAGGGCACAGTCATGTAGGTAAATGTGTCTAAGAGAAGACCTGAAAACCTAATTTATCATCGGGATCACTGACATACCCTACAAAGGGGAGAGGAAAATATAAACAGAAAGCCTCTTCCATCAGCCAAAAGGAGTTTAAAATGATGGAATGCACTCAGCTTAAGAATGCACTTGAGTTAACCTTAAGAATTCAGGGAAGAACTATGTGCAGCAGTGTGCAGAGCTTGAAGACACCCAGCCAAAGTGCACCGCTCCAAGAGCATATTCCACGTTAGCAAGCCCAAAGCTGCTGAACCGAAGACTGCGAAAAGCAACTGTGACTAATAGTTCCACACCCTCGCCTGTTTTCCACCCCTTCAACCCCATCGCGGGGCAGAACAACCGCAGCAGCCTCAGGGTCAGCAAAGAACTCCAAGGGCCGGTTTCCAACATCCAAAAATATTCTGGCGCTACCTTTATTCCAGGAGCTTCTCGTTGGGGACTCCACAGCTAAAGGCGGGAGGGGACCAAACCCAGCCTTGGCACTTGGCCCCGCTACAACGAGCAGAGGGGCCAAGACGCCCCAGCCTCCCACAGACCCCCCCACGGAAACCACCGGGGCTGACACTCCACCAGTGCGAGGGCCTCGGCACCAGGGCACCGGGAACAACCCACAGCCCACCGCCGGTGCGGGGCCAAGGGCTCCGGGGGGGCCCCGCGGAGCCGCCGAGGGGCCGAGCGGCCCCGGTGCCCGCCGGCAGCCGCGGCCCCCGCCCCGCCGTGACCTTCACTGCCGCCCCCACCGGCGCCGCGGCCCTCACAGCGCTCCCCCTTCCCTCCTTCCCTTCCCTCCCCGCGGCCGCACTGCGGGGGCCAGCCCGGGCCGCCCACCCGCGGCCGCCCCCGCGCCAGGCCCGGAGGTGACCGGAGGGACGAAGAGGGGCCGAGGTTGGGAGGGTGTGTGGGGGGGTAGCAGCGGCTCCCCGCCGCACTCACTATTCCTTGATGAGCACCATGGCGGTGCCGCCGCGCCTCCCGGCCGGGCCAGCCCCGCTGAAGGTGACAAGGAGGCGCGTCCCCCGGGGGCCGCTCCGCTGCCGGACGGCGATGGAGCCGAGCGAGCCGAGCCGAGCCGAGCCGAGCCGAGCCGAGCCGAGCCGAGCCGAGCCGAGCGCGCCGCACCGGGACGGGGGGGCCGGGCCGGGGGGGGCCGGGGCGGTTCGTCTCTGCGGCAACGGCTGCGTCACCTCCGCGCCGCGCGCGGGGAGGGGCCCGCGCGGCCCCGCCCACCGCCCCCCTCAGCGCGGCGCGAGCGCGGCCCGCCGATTTTTTTGGGGGTTTTTTGGGCTATGAAGTGGCTCCTTTAAGGGTTCTCCCAAGAGGTGTAAAACTATACTGCACCGGTGCGGTTTGTTTCGGCTCTCCGAGACTTTGGGGTTCCCAAAGCGGTACAGCGGTCTCCCAGCAGTGCCGGAGCCCGCTGGCAGTCCCTCGGATTTTTCTGAATCAACTCCGATGTTTTTAATAACAGCAGCGTCTTTAGGGTCTGTCTCTCAAGAGATGTAAACTGCGCGGTGTTAATCGTTTCAGCTCTTAAGGCCGGCGTTCCCAATAAGCCTCCCGGCAGTGCCACGAAGCCCTCCTGCCACTAGGGAGGTTCTACAATCATAATACCATGGAATGGTTGAGGTTGGAAGGGACCTTAAGGATCATTCAGTTCCAACCCCCCCGTGCCCTGGGCAGGGACACCTCCCACTAACCCAGGTTGCTCCAAGCCCTGTCCAGCCTGGCCTTGGACACTTCCAGGGATGGGGCAGCCACAGCTTCTCTGGGAAACCTGTGCCAGGGCCTCCCCACCCTCACAGGGAAGAATTTCTTCTATGTATTTAACCTAAACTTCCCCTTTCAGTTTGAACCCATTACTTTTTGTCCTGTCACTCCAGTTCCTGATGAAGAGTCCCTCTCTGCCTTCCCTGTAGACCCCATCAGATACTGGAAGGGGCTTTGAGGTCTCCACAAAACCTTCTCTTCTCCAGGCTGAACAGCCCCAAATTTCTCAGCCTGTCTTTCCAGGGGAGGTGTTCCAGTCCTCTTGCCAGCTCCTGACCCCCCTCTTTTGGGAGGGTGAGGAAAGGGAATGACTAGTGATCAGGGTATTAATGCAAATATCCAGGGGATAAGTCAGTGCTACAGTCAGACAGGGTGAGTGTCCTCAGGTAATGGGCTCCACCTTGTCACCAGGTCATGATTTATCGCATTTTCAAGTCTTTAGTTTTCAATATTACTGCTGAGCTGCAGTCACCCAGGCTGTACTTGGCATCAAGAGGAACCCCAGATAATTATTAGAAGGCGATAGCAAAACCCCTTTTCTGTGACCTGTACTCAGTAAAAAACACTAAGGAGTGCTAATCTTAACCACTTTTGTCACTGGAATCACAGAGCAAGGATTGTCATTATTGGATTGGGAAAGTAAACCACCATAGATTTAGCATCACCAAGCTCAAGAGGGGATAACTGAGATGTGCAGCTTTCCTGCTGACACCTCCATTTCCACCTAAGGTCAGTTGTTCATCTTTCATTAGCTGACACTAATTTGTCCTGCATAACTGAGCTTGATCTCATTCTCAACCTGCCCTCTACGCTTTGGGGACTTTTTCCAGAGATTAAATTTTAATTCTCCGGTAGAGCTTAATTGGCATTAGCTATTAGCTCCTAACCTAGAGAAGAAAAATTCAAGGAAACATTTAATCTGTGTCCTGCCCTTTGGCAGGTGACACCCTGTAAAGCATTCACGCTTCCATAGTCTCATTAGGAAGCAAGCAATGCTTTTATTATGTTCAGCCTCGGAAGGAAAACTAATGATTAACTTAATATCACTTTATTTTGAGATAGTACTGCAAGAGTGCACATCACCTTACAAACACAGAGAAGATGACACAGGCCTGCCCCGAGGAGCTTACAATTCAACTTTGACAAACACCACAAAAAATTCTGTGGACAGCAAAAGGTGGGAGAGGTAATGCTCTTGGGTTAAAGAGGGGGTTTTCTGAAAGAAGGGATTGTCTCCAGAATAAAAAGTGAGTGACAGAGGGTCAGGCACAAGGAAGTGACAGGCAGCAGTAGGGTGACAACGTGGAGTAGAGGACACCTGATAAAAACAGATTGCACAGAGACAGGCTGGCAGCACAGGCAGAAAAACAAGGAGCTGCGGGGGTTTATAATTAACATGTAAGAATGCAGCTACATAACACATCATTGTTTCAGCTACTCCAGAGAAGATAACATTGTGAATTATAAATCAGAAGTGGCTTTTTTTTAAATTAAAAAAAAAAAAAGAAAAAAAAAACAACCACCAAAACCAGTCCCTTCCCATCAGGAATCCTACTGTAATGCTCATTTCCATTATCTACAAAAGAAGTACATTGCAGTTCTAAATTGGGGCACAGGGAATACCAAAAGCTCTGCAGATGCAGAAAAGACTCAAAAGGGGGGAAAAAAAGTAACAAAATTTGTAGTTTTAAGATTTCTTTTTTACCCTACGCTATCTGCTTCAAATTTTGTAGCATATTTTCCAAATTCATCAGCATGTCAGGAGGGAAATCTCCTACTAGAAAACATTTTAGTGATTTACTGACTTAGTTACAATCTCATTATCCTGCAATTTTCCTTTGTAGATGGAGCATGAAAAGACCAGGCTTTGCTGTGGGAGTTGAACATTTTAGTTGCTGTAGCAGCATTGCAGTTAAGTTGGAGCCTCAGCAAGATTTGCTCTTTTTTTTTTTTGCATACATCTGTGTCCAGTTTCATCTCAAGGATCCAGATATAGCTTTATGCAGTTACTGTCATAGTGTAAAGTGTCCTATTAAAGCAGAACAGCACAGATTTTCTCTGCTGCTTTTGACACAGTGTCATTGCATTAGTGCTATAAAGACTCTGTCAACAGGGCTTAGGCACTGACAGATTAGTGAAAGCAAAAAGCTGTCATCCTCCATTCCCCACTCTGTGAATTTAATTTTTTATATGTATTTTTTTAGCATGGATGCACATTACATGCATGTGAGTCTGTAGAGGTCAGGAGCAGCGTTTTCAGAAGGTGCAATCACCTTTACACAGCAACACCCTTGACTCTGAGGGCCCCTACCAACAGCAAGTACTCACAGATGAGGTTTCTGCTTCATTACATTCCACTGGGGATGCTTCCATGGAGGTCTTTCCCACGACCACCCTCCTTGCACTTCTCATGTGAATGAGGGTTAGGGGGGGTACAAGGGGCATAAAAAAACCCCAAGACCTACAGATTCATAATTTAGGAATTATGAATGTAGTTAAACACATTGACCTATACTTGAGTTATAAAGGTAAACACATTATTGATTCAAATTGCTGGGGCTCTCCAGCCCTTGGTAGCCCATTTATTTTTCCCACAAGGTGGCTCATGCACACAGGGAGTGCACCAGGAATTTTCTTGATCCTTTATCTCTCAGCTAGAAGGCAGCAATGCTGTTTTCCACTCCAAACATACATAATCCACAATTACATTTCCCTGAGCCTCAAAAAACGAGGCAAACTGACCCTGATCCACCACGTGACAGGACCACCCTGACAGTGTTTGTTTCTGCACTGTGCATGACAACATTTAAAGAGGCTGGAGGCAGAATATTGTCCTCCAAGAGCCCATTGCTGCAGGAGGTGCAGGACTGAAGCAGTTACGCCACAATCAGTAGAGTATTTGCACATCTTGCATGCAGATATATTTGAGACTGCTTTAAAATTAGTTTGGTTCACAACTGTCAGAATAAATTAAACCCCACTAGTGTCAGACCAGTGTTTTACCTTAGCCCAGCATGTTTTCTTCATCTGTGACCAATTCTTAAAAGACAGAATATGTAGAAAGAACAATAATCTTTCCTTGGCACAACTTTCTTATTTACAGCAACTTAAAATCTCCCTGAGTTAGTGGATGCAGAGCATTGTTTAACCAGCCCCTTTAAAAAAAAAAAAAAATAAAATTTATACTTCTGTTCCCCACTACATTCTGTAGCAATGACTCCCACAGTTTGTTGCATGGCCTGAGAAGGTGACACCACTTGTCTGTTCAACTTTGAATAGCTAAAACTTCCCTGTGTACCCACCAGGACTGCAACTCCAAGGCATGAGCTCTGCTCCTCACAGCTGACCAGCAGCTTCTAAACACCATGCCACATCAGCAGAGACACTAAAAGTCACATATCCACCATTTTTTCAAATGAAACTGGATTTGAAGGTATTCCTAATAAAGGGCAGGGACCGGGAACTGCAGTAGGGAGGTAGATGGCAGAAATAAAGGGGTGTTTTTTGAAGTATGTGCAGCTAAACTAAAAGGCAGCAGCAACTCCACTGTGACTTCATGAAAATATGCCACTCTATATTCCACTATTTTGCAGAGACATTTATAACAGGAATTCAAGTGACATAAGAGTGGAAGCAATCACATTCAATGTTTTGAAACAGAGGTGGAAGTAATGCTGAGTTAGCACACTGACACCCTCCAGCAGCTTCTCTGCTTTAGGACACTGAGACTGTGGATGGTGGCTCAGACACTCACCTGTCTGAGCTATTCCTAAAAAAAGGTACTTAATCTGTCATTCTCGTGTCACAAATACCTTGAAGCAAGAGTAGGACTCTTCTCAAAATATTTAGGAGTATTGTAATATTAAATGCAGAAACCTGCAGAAAGCCCTCTGGAAACCTAGGCAGGTGGGTCTCTGAACAGGTACACCAGGTGAACAGGAAAATTAACCAAAACTCTGCCTCCTTAATTATTGCTGGACACAAAAGAAAGAAAAGCTGGGAAGGTCACTGAATCAACACCAAAAGACAAAAAGTTCCAGAAGAGTAAAGTGTTGACAGCAGGCAATAAGGCTGTCTTGGAACAAACACATTTAATAAAGGCAACACATTAAGAAAAAAAAAAAATTCACAAATGTGTCAAATGCTCAAGTGGCGAGTCCTTTCGAAACGAGCGGCTGAAGACTGAAAGGTACCGTGGAGCAGCATCGGAACTGCTCGCGGGAGCAGTGACTCGAGAGGGCGCTGCCGTCCCACGGAGCTGCCGCGTCATCCTGCGCTGGCAAAGGGCTCCAGCCGTCCTGCCCAGGCTCTGGGCACGCTTGCTCTTTAGGAAAGGTGAAGCCCTGGCTGGGCTGAGCATCTGCAGGCTTAGAACTGTCAGAGAAGGAGTTAACACCCGGTTTCCAGGTAATTTCTCTCAGGAAGGTCTGAGCGTGGTGTTGTTTCTAATCCTCTGCTTAGCGCCAAAAGCGATTGAGTCTTGTACTTTTCCAACCAGACAGAGAAGTTGAATGACTTACCCCCTGCCAGGCTTTGCAGTAAAACACTACCACATCTTCATAGAATCATAGAATCACCTGGGTTGGAAGGGACCTCCGAGATCATCAAGTCCAACCCTTGATCCACTACCGCTCATAATTGTTTTGTTTCTGCCCCAGCCTTTCTGCAGCCACCAGCTCAGCTCAATGTGCCTGCTGGGGATGCTCATCCTCACCCCTGCACAGTCCTGCTCCGAGCAGGTCCAACAGTGTTAACACAAGTCACAAGGCTACAGGGCCTGAGCTACTGACCTCAGCAAGAGGGTTAAGGGCAGAAAAGTCTGCTTTAGACAAGACCTCTATAAAAATAAGCAGGTTAAAAATTCCCTTTGTATTCCCTCCCTAGTGAACAGGCCTGGGGCACCTTTACCCATGCATATTGCTCTGACAGTCAGCTTCACCATACAATCAATCACCACGTGCTCTGTCCAGACAGAGCATCAAAAAGGCTCCTAGTACAGCCAAACTGGCAGCATTTTGGTCAGTCACACTAACCTGGTGACTATTGTCAGAGCAATGTAAATAAGCTATGGCTAAAGGAAAACTTACATCACCACATCACCCTGCCCTGTCCACAGGATCCAGTTACCAGACACAAAGGAGTGTTCTGCATTCTTGATTATTTTCACCAGCTCACAACACGTGAACACCAAGGTATCTGGAGCCCCAGAACTCAGCTTCAAGAAGTTTCTCCACTTTACTAAATACACATTGCTGCTCCCCTCCCAGGGTCATGTCGAAGGGAAGAAGAGGCAAAAGGCAACAAGTCTCAAAAGCACTTCATCTGTAAACAAGATCCAATTCCTATCTCAAGGGTTCCAGGACTGCAGACAGTTTAAAACACGTACAGGTGGTTTGTGAACCGGGAAGAGGAAGAATTCCAGGCCTCTGAAGGCTTGGTCTAGGACCAGCAGTCCACTATAGGCTCTTCATTTCTTTATGGAAGGCAGATCCATTGCTCACAGTCTGTGTCGTTTGCAGTAATAAAAGGTTTGGGAGCTGTCAGTGCTAGCAGCCAACACTTAGCAACACAGTGAAGCTGTGCTCATACACATAGGAATAAAATCCCCTTCCCTGCCTCAGAAACAGTCTAGGGTATGTCTGGATAGACAGTAAAACCACTGGGTCCAGCTACACATCAAGCAGAAAGACCATTATGAAGCCTCAGGAAGGGAGGAGAGTGCAGCTTGCATCTGAGACTGTCAGCCGAGGCTGGGGGAAGAGGGGGAGAAAACAGACTTCACTGCGTTACATTTGCAAACTCAAACTATGGTCTGTCTTCCCTCTTCTCCCATCCCTCTATCCTTCTCTCCCCAATCTCCTATGCAAACTCTCTGCTGCTGGAGAGCGTGATCAGGGGATAATTTAAGACACAATATCTGTGTGGCCTTTAAAAAAAGAAAAAGTGTCCCGTGTTTTGGAGTAAGGAGTAGGAAGTCTCCTCCTGCCATATATCTGAGGAAATCTCAGTCATGATGTCCGGCCCTCACTCCAGTGGTGAGCAAAGACTGGCAGAGCCAGGGGAGGAAAATCCTGGCTTACACCACAGGTAGAACCCACGGATGTGGTAGGAACCTGTACAGGGGAGGTTGTATGTGAAGCACCAGTTTAAACAAAGGCTTCCTCAGTGGGAGTGCCATTGATTTTGAAGAAAAGTTTGGCATCTTCCATCTTCTGCTTTTTTTCTCTCTCTAGCCTGCGTCTGTAGCAGACCAGGTAGATTGGAAGGCAGAAACCCAGCAGGCTCATGGCAAGCAAGCCAACATTCACCTGCAGGAAAAAAAGCAAACCACAATTAGGCAGGCAAGGGAGGACGACAGCTCAGTCACGCATCCTGCAGTGTCAGAACCCAGCCCACGTCACTCAGCTGTGGGCAAACCAGGACACGCCCTGCTCAGTGTATTGGCAACATCCTCCACTGTTTTTATATTTACACTCCTGTGCCCAGAGCACCATGTGTACAAGCTACACACTGTAAGAGTTTGTTGCTCAGGATTATGGCTGTGGGAGGCTCGTTCCACAGAAAAAGCTGCAGCTCTTTCACACCAAGTTGGCTGATTGAAGAGCAACAGGCTGCTGGCGTGGGCACACGTAGCCTAGAGACCAGAACTCTCCACCCATGTCATTATTTTATTGAGCTGCCCAGACTCTCAGCAAGACACTACATTACCCCTACCCCTCAACAGCCATTTGGCTTTTTGGACATTAGCATCAGCAATCCAAAATTTACTGGTAAATGGAGCTAAGAGTTCTTAAGGGTCAGAGAATTTCTATTGTATTTTGAGGTCTCCTCACAGTCACTCACTTTGACCTGACAGATTTTGACTCACTGAATAAACTGTTAGTGGAAAGCATTCCCTTTCCCCCTTTCCATAAATCAGCATAAGGGTTAATGGCTTTCCCTCTCAGTGAGTCATTACTCACACAGAGAAGGGTCTCCTGGACAGCACCAAGGTAACAGCAGATTAAGGGACAGGTAAAAGTCCAGCTGTTTTTTAACCTTGGTTCATGCACAGGAGTCCTTTTGTTTTCCAAGAAATGAGCCAAAAACCATCTTAACCACCCAAGCTTTCACATGAAATTTAAGAAGAACTTGCCCAGAGGGGGTCTCCTTTCAAAGGTCCTGTCAGTGCCATGAAGAGAGGCTGCTGCAGAAGGGCGAAGAGGGCACTGATCAACGACTGCAACCCTGTCAAGCTGCCAAACTGAGTAGAGGGGTATCTGTCAACAAAGAGAACAACAGCATTATAATATGTCACCTTGACTGTTCACATAACCCAGATCAGATTACACTCCCAGTCAACTAACAGAGACTAATTTATAGAGACTAACTTGAGAGCATGGTCCCAAGACAGGCATAATGTGCAGGACTTCTCTCTCCTGGACTTAGGTATAACTACCTTTTTACAGGGTATTTGGCTATACCTGATGGTGGCCCTGGTGCCAAGGCTGGAGCCTTCCTCTCCAGACTGTTCTCATCCTAAGCTCTCAAACTTTAATATAAAATCCAGAACTTGTTTTGTTTTGCAGCTGTACTGTAGGCAGGTGGAAGTGCTTATACAACTACTGTTCCTATTGCACAGGGAGCAGAGTGTTGATATTTACAAGTTGAAAGCAGGGCCTCTTTATCCAGATGACACCATTTGTGGCTGAGCAATTGTTTTTATCTGGTTACAACAATTTGCTCCCTTTGGAAGTGAGTGAAACCTGCACAGCAGGTATGTGTTTTCCTTTTTAGAGGACAAGTCTGATCCTATGTCAAACTAAATAACACTGTTGACTGAATTGATGAATATCAGATAATACTAATGGAAAAACAAATTTCAGAAACCATCTTTCTCTTTCCATGACTGAGCAGTGTTTAAAAAGGGTCAGGTTAAACTAAGCTTGGAAGGAAAGAAAGAAGCGGGTCAAAACCTTCAAATATTGAAATAAGTAACATTCAAAGCAAAAATACCTCACTCCAGGAAGTTCCAGACAGTTGCAATGGCCAAACAGGATTAGTTTACAAGCAAGCTGATATGTACAGCAACATACATTTATTTACCTTGCCCAAGACAAAATCTTTCACTTCTAGCTGCCAGGAAACCAAAAGTTTATGCATTTTTGAAGCAGAGTCTTAGATGGGTTTTCTAGTCTGGATTCCCCAGACACTGGGACCAAAACCTTTGACAGAAGGAGTCTGTGGAGTTGTGGAGTCTCCATCCATAGAGATTCAAAACACAACCGGGTGCAATCCTGGGCAACCTGCTCTAGCTGACTTTGCTCAAGCATGAGAGATGAACTAGTCTCAAGAGGTCCCTTCCCACCTCAACGATTCTGTGATTCCGTGAAAGAGAACATCTCCTTTCTGTTCCTCTGTCCCAACAGCTCAGGACAGAGGGGCAGATCTGTTTTCAAAACCAAACACATTGCTTAACAAGGAAGAGAGTATTTAGACTCAGCTATCGATAGTTTTGATAAGGTGGAAACAGGACGGATGATCTGTCCTGGGAAAGGGAGGAGGCATCACTAATGCTATCTTGAGCAATGCTTTACCAGTGTAACTTCAGAGCAGAGCAGCAGCGATGTTTTCAGTTAGGTTAATGTTTTACCCAGGCACATGCACGTATCTGCTCGTTGTAAGACAAAAACAGCCTTGAGTTTTTACTATATAACCTTAGTGTCAATACCATAGTCTCACCTGAGGCCCACACAGAGCTGTGCCTGTCTCACTGCAGTAGCTATGCCAAAGGGACTGGCTGTTGCTAAACAAGGAAGGCACCAGCTGGGACTTCAGTCTAGTTACTGTCATGTCTAGTGGTGACTGTGGAAACAAGTTGCATCATTTTTCCCCTCTGACCACGAAGACTTCCTGATCTCCCTCTCACCTGGACAGCCTATCATCCCAAAACAGTTTATCTGGCCAGCCACATTTTATAGGTAACCAGAGACTTACACAGCAGCATAAAGGCCTCCCACAGCTGAGTGGATGAATCCTCTCACAATTGTGTGCAAAATGAAGGAAAGAATCTGAAAAGAGAAGCAGAAAAAAACATCACATTCGAGATACCACCCAGGCGTGCCAGACCCCAACACACAACCACTCCTAAAAGCTGTTCTTTCTAGTACAAAGGTGGGATTGGATAACCCAGAACCAAAACCCAAAATATCACCACAAGGGAAGAAATCTGTACTTTGTCTCAAGGCACTGCTTTTCCTTTCTTTGCAGAGGCCCCTGAGGTTAACCACACACAAGACCTCTCTCATTTGCAGATGGCACTGCTGCAAGGATGTGTCCCCAGCAACCTGTGACCAGGATCACAAGTGGTTTTTCATGGCGACCAATTTAGTTAATTTTCCACGAGTTATTGCGGACAACACGCGAGTAGGAGCAAATTACATCTGTTTGCCTATATCATCAAGGCACGCTTAAGTATAGCATAAAATCACTAAACTCCTCTGCCAAAAATAGGTGGTGCCACAAAATAAATATTTTAACAGGTTTACAATCCCACATGTACCATTGGGCACAGCATTTGACGCAGAAATAACCTGCTGTATATAACCCTGTGCTGTGCTTCTTGCAGCAAATTTTCCAACTGTCAGCAGCTTAAATCAAGCCCAGGTTAAACACACAGGCACTGCTGAAGAGGATCTTGGTAGGAAAGTATTTGTTGTTACACAGCTCAGCTGCAGAAGCTTCTAAGTGTGAATAAATTCTGGATCAAATCTGACATTTTAACTAGAGCTGCTTCTTTTGGTTCTCTCAAGGGTATGTAAACTGCATGGTACTATTTGTTTCAACTCCTGGGCTTCCCAAGCAGTACAGAAGTTTCCCAGCAGTGCCAGAAAGCCCTCCTGCCACTAGCACGTTCTCCTGGCACTGTCCTGCCCGTTTTTTTGCCCGGCCCCACTCTGCCAGCCCCTCCAGCACCCCCATCCATTCCACCCATTCACCTGCAACGGTAGGTTAGGAATAAGACAGGTGATTCCAAATCCAACCAGCAGGAAATTCGTGAATACAAAGGCATTGGTGGCATTGGTGATTTTCTGGATCTGACGATCACGCTTTTTCTTTTTCTTGTCACTTCTGGAAGGACAGCAAAACCTGTGTTACAAAAGCACTTTCAGCAGCAACTGGAACTCACAGCAAGATTCCTCCACATATCACATCAACTCTATCTAAACCAGCTTGGCTAGAGGTCTGCCTATGGAGGTGGCTGGGATCTCCATCAGTAGAAGCTGAGGAACATCTGGGTACTTATTTCAGTGCTGTTACTATTACTCTTAGGCTAGGAGGGAAGTCTGAGCCTCTCCTGCTACAATTTAAATTCGCTCTTCTTGACTGATCTTAGTAGACACGGAAGATAGTTTGCTCCTTTCCTCTGCAATTATCAAGTCTTCCTTCAGGCTTTCTTTTCTATACTGAAGAGCCAATATTCTTTTCAGTCTTTCATCACAAAACACATAATGCAGAGCAGGGGGGGGCCTGCTACGTGGCTGCATGTCCCGTGTGGCGCACACTACGCACTGCTCAGCGCTGCTCTCCTCATTCTCTTCTGAGCCATCATCACATTCTTTCATTCTCCAATCCATGATGCACCCAATCACAGGCGCTGTCAGCAAGCACAGTAGTTGCAATACCCCAAAAATGGAAGTGTAGAGAGCCACTGCAGGGAAAAAACAAAATTAAAAGTAATTATTAGTCCAAGCGATACCGTAGCAGCAATAGGGAAAAAAAAAAAGAACAAAAAAGTCCTGCTCTTCTCCATTGATCACCTCTCTGTTGAAGAACCCAGACCCCCTGGACTCACAGGCTGACAGGCAGAGCTCAAGGAGCTGGGACACCAAAGCCCCACTCCATCAGTTGGCCTCCCAGAGAGCTGACATACTGGGCACATTTCCTTCAGCCTTTCTGATCCTGCACTAGTATTCCCTGAGCAGCAGCAGCAGCTCAACAGCAGGTAGGGCTTCAAAAGTGGGACACAGCAACTTCTTAGTGCCAGGGAGATTTATTCTGGCTAGGACAGACAGGAAAAGTTCTCACAAGCTGTATGTGTTGCACAGCCAGACCTGCCTTAGTCATCTCCTCTCCTGCCTTGCTGGGAGCTGCAGTTACATCCCCTCCAGCTGGGAAGCTCCAGCAAGGACAATCAGGCTGGGAAGGTGAGGACTAACCCATTTTGTGCTGAATGGACAAGTATGGAGGGAGGAGGAGGGGATATTAGCAGCAAAAAAACCACAGCATTTGAGAGCAATCATGAAAAACTCAAACTGATGAAATTTCCCACACGCTAAAGACAAGAGAAGTGTCTCCATTGTTTGCCAAGGGAAAGCTGATGCCAGCAGACTTAGAAGAACTGTCCCCTCCTGTTACTGAGCAGTTCCCCCACCCTGCAATGCTTTTTCCACTTCCTCTCAGCAGCCCATGTGATGATTTAGGCATTGCACAGAAGGGCTGGTGAGTCATGGTGTGCCACAGCTCTGAAATAAGGATGTAGTTCTGAAACTGCCCCTCTCAGCACAGAGCACAAGTAACAGCACTGTAAGCAAAACAACTAAACTAAATTTTAGTTTGTCCCTCCCAAAGCATTTCTAGGTCTGGCCAAAGCAGTACAGCCAGGATTTACATCCAAATCAACTTAGTAATGGAGACAAGTTTCCAACAAGCCTTTCTTTCCTATCCAGTTGTAGCAAACCTCAGCAGGGCACCTGATGATACTTTCCTGGCTCTGGTTGCTGGCAAAGGAATCAAGAGGAATTTCCAACTCCAGTCTCCAAACTAACCCCTGTTACTCCCACAAAGGCAAACCCTGAAGTGACCCCACATCCCCTCTCATTATAGCAACTGCTGCAGCCAAGACAAACGGGTGGCATCACCCTCTGTGAACACTCCAGGAGCTGGTTTACTGTTGTCTGGTTATTTTTTAACAGAAGGTAAGAAGCAAGCCACTCTGTCATGTTTTGCCTCTTCTTGCTCCTCTGAACACTTAATCTTGGGCTCCAAACAGCAAGTGCAAAGGCCAATTTGAATTAGGGAATTAAATTTATGGGGTCAGCAAGAGAAGAGAATGAAAGACAGTAGCTACTACAAAACAGGGCCTCCTCAACTTATCGATCATCTTAAAAGAACATTCTTTCCTGAGGAGAAAAAGCCAGAACTATACCTATCAAATACCACCACAAGTAGACATGGCAGAAGTGGAAGGCTGGATAGAGCTTCTATCCCGGCAAAGGGAGCACACAAGGGTACAATCCTTAACATCTAATGTTCTACACATCTTGTCCTCAAAACTATCCTAAGCAATCCCCTCATACAGCTGAGTTTTTCCAGCCCTGATTCTAACCAAGGTCTCCCAGTATCACCACACTTGAAACCGAGGTGACAATTTATGAAAAGCGCAGCCAGATTTCAAGACACAACAGGTCTACTCTCTCCTGCCTTCCCACAACACAATTACGCAGTCATTTACAGAGCTACTGAACCCTCAGCTTCTTCCTCACCTTCTGAGGGTTTTCAGAAGCTAAGCAGCCACAGGCTGACTGCTCTCTCCACTTATAGGTGTCATGACAGGTCTAAGTCACCATAATCTGCACAGGAAGAACTTTCACAGTTTTTCAGAACTGTGCCTCGCTGCAACTTAAAAGGCATTGCTACCTATCTGCATGATTTCCCCCACATCCTTCTCTCCTGTTCTGCTCCCAGGAATGCTGAAGTTTTCTTTGACTTGCAGGATTTGACTCAACTCCCTCCTTCCCTTGCTCAGTGCTCCCGAGGGCAGCTGCAGGTGGAGGGAGCTCTCTCAGCAAATCACGCTCAAGTAAATAAATGTGAGAAGGACCAGGGAGATCATCCCATCCTCTCCTGATCCACACAGATTACATTTCTAGGGAGCTGCACGCGCCTTGGAAGTGCTCTTGCAGCCTGACACTGCTGTGAGTAGACAATACCACTGTTTTGCTGATGCCATGGAAACACCAAGACAGCGACTGCACTGCATTGAGCCCGGGCTAATTCAGGGGGAGGAGGGGGGAAAAAAAAAAAAGGGAAGAAATCTTAAAGGTGGCACAGAAAAAATGCAATATACTCAAGGGGCACAACCCCTGTTCTAGCACAGAGTTTGATCTAAACAGAATTGGCAGCTTATACAGTTAGTATTAATTCTAAAATTCCAAGGAGGGGAGGAGAGGAAAAAAAAAATGAAAGAGAAATAACTGGAGCAAGCCAGGGTAAAAATAAATAAATAAAAATAATTAAAAAAACCCCCAGTGTCAGAGTTACAAGGTAAGCAGAAAACTAAGCACCTTTGGGAAAGGTAGGCAGTGTGAAGTTTGTCCTGTTTACTGTTTAATGTCTAAATTGGCTCCCGAGCCAGGAGATAAAGAGCTGAATGCTGCAGGCTGTCAGAGGCTCAAGAAACAAAGCAATTCAGGGAATGCCAGGGCACTTGGAGTTTCCTGAGTTTCCTTCCCTCCCCCAAAGCTCACTCCTGTTTTCAGAGGAGTGCCTCTTGATTTATCAGCTCCATGCAATCCAGATTTAACAAGTTCAAACTGGATCTTACTACAAAGGACAAAAACAACTTTAGGAAAAAAAAAAAAAAAGTCTTAAGTCTTGTTTTGCAACCCTGGGTCTTTTGAACAACAGTAAACTAATGTACTCTTTCCTGTTTGCTCCATGTGCTGCATCAGAACTATAAATACAGACGAGTCCAGTGCAGGGAGCACCCCGAGCCTCCCCAGCACACACCAAGCTGCACAAAACAGCTCTGACTTCACTTCTCCCACCCCCAGCTGCTGGGCTGAGCCACCGAGTCCAACCATTAGTCATGAGAGTCAGCTGCTCTGCACTCTGTGCTTGCTTAGGGTAAGGAGAGCAAATACCTGATGAAATTGGTTTTCCAGTGAAAATAAAAATTATCACAGTCCACCCTGAGAGGCTGCTTTCAACAACCTACCCGGGGAAATAACATGGAGCAGTATTTGACAGACACAGGGCTAAAATTAGGTTGACATTCAAGTGTCTGCCTCGCTGCCCCTCTGTCCTGGGCTGGTTCCAGCCCTCGGCTGGACCCTCCCAGCAGCTGCCAGTGCACTCGGACACCACACACGGTGTATCTGCTGAGTAATCAGGTTCACTGGCCTCTTGTAAGCACCAAGCCTGGGCAGCAACCAGTTCCAAGGAAGCAGATAAAGAAAGGTCTTCAGAGATCCCCCTACCTTGACTTGGGTCTCCAGACAGAAACTCGAGGATGGTGTTCATGGCTCCCATGTAGAAGATGAGCCGCAGCTGAGTGACACACATGGTGATAAGGCTGAGCAACAAGATGGGGCTGAAGACACTCTTCATGAAGGAGGGAGAAGCTGCAGAAGGAATAACAGAGTCTGAAGAAAGCAATATACCTCGGTAAACATTTACCATTTCAGAAGAGGCTTCCACCTCTGGCCTAGCAAGTCCTCAATAGTCATTCCAACACTGTGTGCCAGTGGCAGCTCCAAGAAGTTCACAGTTAACTACCTGGCACCTTACAAACTTCCATAATGAAGAGCTGTGGATGCTTGGAGTCTGAGTACCAGTAACTGGGGCAAGGGAGCAGGAAAGAAGACTTGGCTGATTCGGTGGATTGGAACAAAAGGAAACTTCAAACCATTTGCTTTCACCATCAAGGCCAGGTTGGACAGGACTTTGAGCAACCTGAGCTAGTAGGAGATGCTCCTGCCCAGGGCAGGGGGATGGAATTAAATGATCTTTAAGGTTCCCTGAAAGTCATACCATTCTATGATGGCAACAGTCCACCTAAGAGACAGCAGTGACCAACTGCCCTGTCCTCCTGCAGCCACACCCATTGCCATGGTGGTGTCCCCACCACTGGCTACTCCATATGTTGTCTTTAGGCAGGGATACCAGGACAGGATTCCTTATATAACTGAACTCGTGTTTCCATCACGGTGGCTGGCACATGGCCCTGGCAACACCTGGATCACGTATCACTCTTACAAACAGGTCTGGAGCAGAGCAGAGAGGCCAATGGGCTTGTGCCAGCACAAGCATCCCTGGGGCACTCAGGGAACCACACCTGCACTGTCAGGCTGGCACTTCACTTCCAGGTCCACCGTAGACAGGCAGAGCTTGTTGTTCTCTTGCAAGGCTGCCGGCTCCTTGGGGCCCTTCATGGAGCTCCCCACGCTGAGACGGCGCCCCACAGTCGTCACTTGCTTGTAAAACTGCTTCCCAGTGATCTTGTGGTCAAATCCCAGCCAGCTGAACTTTATTTTCACCCTGTTGGGTAGCAAAGGGCATGAGAGCTGCAACACAGGGTGAGGAACCTGAGGCGGCAAAGTTGCAAGAGTCAGAAAGGCTGTTTGTGGATTTAAGGCACTAGTTTCCATCTACAAACCCACACATGCTTTGGATCCAGAGCACATAGAGATACTTTCCCCAGGCCAATTTGGCACAGGTCAATGTAGGAATGCTTATGACTATGGACAGATTATTTTTCCATAATTCCTACGCTTTGGAAAGTTCCACTTTCCACCAATAAAGACATAATGGTAATGGCAGACATAAATCCTCAGCCTAAGAGGTGGCAGCAATAAACAACATGCAAGGGAGTTCCCTGTCCTCTCCTCCAAGTTCTTTGTGCCAGCACTTTCTAGAGATTTAAGAACAGGATTAGCCCTCAAGGCCAGGATAGAGGGAACTTACGAATAGTCCATGTCTTCTGGTCCTGGGAAAGGCTCCAGGGGCCAGTTGAAGAAACAGTTGAGGAAAACAAGTCCTGCACAGCTTGCCCAGACAAGCAGAATAAGGATGAAGGAGACCCCAAAGTCGTATATAACCTGGAAATCACAAGGGAACATGTTTTTGGCTATAAGAGTAGAAAGATCCTCCAATATTTTTTTAATGAGGTCTTAGAGGAACTGGTGGGAAAGAACATACTACATTTAAAATGGGTTAAACTCAGGTGGTAACAAAAAAAAAAAAAAACAGTTTTGTGACAAGAACCTTCTTCTTGGAAAGCCATCAGGAACTTCCCTGCACACCTGAGATTGGTTTACCTTTATATATTCCCCTTATGCTAACCCTGCAATCAAACATCTCTGGTTCAGAACCAGTAGTGATCTATCCAGGCAGCTCAGGTGACTGTCTCTTGTCCCCTCAGTGCCATTTGCTAGCAATAAATTATCTTCAAAGCCAACCATTGGTGACAATCACAGAGGTTAAGTGTACATATGTGGATTAAAAAAAAATACATATACATGGCTTGGAGATTGAAAAATTTAAGATCTTTTTGAAAAAATTTGTTACTTCAACTTAGCACTTTTTAAATTTTCCTATTTGCTGCATTCTCGAGGCAGTCACTTGGGAAGCCTTTAATACAGACAGGAACTGAATCTTGCAAATGCACATCTCTAAAAAAGTGCTTTAGCAAACAGTCCCTCTTTCTTGCCACATTATTGCTAAATGGTGCAAGACGCCAGCACACCACCCCCAGTCACGAGTCTTGATCCCATGGCCTCACCTTGATTCCTGGAAAAGTCACAGCAGAGGAAGCATAGGAGCCAATCATCAGAGCAATGAACGTGGAACGAAGGTCACCAAACATGTTGGGCAGCTGGGGAAAGAAAAAATCGGTTGAAACAGGCTGGTGCCAAGGGAACGAGGCTTTCTTGGGACAATATCGGCATTTAGGATTGAGGCTCCTGGATACCAGAATGTGAAGCAGCCAGTTTTACTCAGGAATGACTTAGCTCTTTAGGATATTACTCTGCAGGTTGCACTGGTGTCTCCAGCGACAGGGAATGTCTATAATCCAAGATTTATGTGCTCAGTGACACTGCTTCTTTCCAGACTGACGGCATAGTTTGCATTGGTCACCTTTAGCACAGGAACGTGTGCTCCAGCTCTTGCACTTTCTTTAAGAGCTCCTTACCCAAAGTCTGCAGCCACCACCTCTTTTCCTCTCCAAAAAAACGGTGCCCAAGTTCTCTGTGCATCACCCTCTTTTTAAGTCAAAAGTTGTTAGACACAGCCCCTGATTGCCACAGTCTAACACACCCTGCAACACCCCAGGTTTGTTTATGCACCTGGGGTCAGCATCCAAATCTTTCCAGCAGACCAGAAAGTTCCTGTTATAACAAGAAGGAACAGAGACAAACACAAATGGTGCTGCTGTTTGCATTTCCATTTCTACCTATCTCCATGGCTCCTTCTGTGAGAGCAGACTCTCTCTACCTAAAGCTGATAATTTCTGCATCATTTGGATGGCTCAGATGCCCAAGCACCCTATATTGGAGCTAGGTGCAGGAAAGCAATCACAAACACTAGATATCCAAAGATTTATTGCTCAGCACAGCTACACAGCTGCTGAACTCTGTAGCAAGCAACAGCATCTCATGTTGCCATTCCTGCCACCCACCCCACTTCACTGCCTGGGCTCCCATCAGGTGTGTTGGCATTGCTGGGAGCAGACCAGGCTGGTTCTGCAAGGATCTGTTGGGAAAGCAGACAGATTCTTGGTAGGGACAGCTAGAAGCAGCTCACAGCAGCCACTTCTGCCACCTCAACAAGAAAAATCACTCCCAGGCTGGTTCACCAGCCCCTGCTTCCACTCAGGACCCAAAAGCAAAGTGAAAAAGGCAGAAAGAGCTGGGAGACCTTCCCACCTCTTTTTAAAGGAGGAACTCCCTGTTTTCCTAAACAACCAGCCATGAGAAAGTTTCCATCACTCACCAATGATGCCCTGGAAACTGAAAATTACAGGGAGAAGCTTTGAAGTTGTTGGGCTACAGAGAACTCGGCTGATACCTCCTGAATCTGGTCAACAGGCAGAGATTCTGCTGCAGGCAGGCAGATTTCCCTCCCACCTCCTTTTTTTGGGTCACTTACTCCCCAGATTCACTTGAGCATCATTACCCATCAGCCTCAGAGGACCTCAAAGCAGGGCACTGCAGATGCCTTCTAGGACTGAAAGCACAACCAGCATTTTATCTGTGTAAAGAGGCCACTGCACAGAACAATTCAGAGAACATGAGACCGAGCCTGAGCAAGCAAATGCTGCCATCACATTCCCCTTCCACTGCTGAAAAACAAATCCATCTTTCCCAGGAGCAGCATATAAGGCAAGCAAATCTGGCTTGTGTCACGGCAGGAGCGGCGTGTTTACAACGCAAGTATTCCTGTGCAGGCACACTCCAGGATCCATCTGGCTGTTTATCATCCCTGTGTCCCACTGCAGAGCTTCCTATGCAGTGCAGCCTCCAGGTCCTCAGATAACCCCGGCCAGGGAGCAGCAGGAATGCTGTGCCGGTGAACCCCGGGCAGAAAACGCTGCACTGCTCTGCAGAGGATCCCCACACCCATCCCAGATCCCCGCATGCGGGAGAGCTGCCAACAGGCCGCTCTCGGGAGCTGCAGGCAGGAAACGGCAGAGGATCCAAAGGTCTGTTACCAGGCTCGAAAAAATCTCTCCTTGGAAGCAGTGGCCTAAATACACACCCCAGAGAACAGCATCTGCAGAGGATACGGCGTCTGCAGGCTGCACAAAGGCTGGTCGCTGTCACCGGGCTGGGCGTTCGCTTCACCTCGAACACCCCACACCTAAAATGATCTCCAGAAATGACAACAAGCAGCTGCTCCTGCTGGGGAGCTCGGGGCAGGGCAAGGGCTCCACAAACACAGCTGCTTCTTGGCTCGGGGTGGTTCTCCCCAGAGACCCAAAACACCACAAAAAGCCCTTTTCATACAGCAGACAAGCAATTCCCAGGTGGATCCTCCTGCTCTGAGGGCTACTGGAGACACAGAACAGGCAACTATGCCTGGGAAAACCCAAGTCTGCTTCTGCCTTGACGGGGACAGAAGTCCTAGAAAGGCTAAAGATTTCCTAAAATCCAATTTGGCACCAAGCAAGCATCTAGACTTAAAAAAAAAAAAAAAAAAAAAAAAAAAAAAAACAGAAGAGATTTAAGGTCTTATCCAACCCTATCAAAACAGAAACTGCAAACACTGAGCACTTGGAAGGAAAGGAAATATGAGACTACCTGGAGGGGCAGAGAGGAGGTGAAGGGAAAAAGTAGTCCATACCCAGACAGAAAACCTCTCAGACTGTGAATGCCAGCACTGGCAGGGCCTGGGCAGGTCTCAGCTGAAGACCAGCTACTAAAATAACACACAGTATTTACCAAGTCATTTTTCATGCTGTCTTTATAGTAGCAAGCATTGGAAAAAATGAACCACGGGGAAGAAAAAAAAACCCTACAAAAAACACAAGCCACAGAGAGCAAGTGGGTTCTTTGTTTTTCTGCCACCAAAAAGATCTGATCCTCATTCTGTCTTATCTCTGCAGAGTGACTCCTCCACTAAGTTCTGCCCATTCTGGTATGACAGCTCCAATTCTGCAAGACCTATGTCGACAGAAACTCTTCAGCCTCCTGTTTAAAGGTCAATAACACTCAATGTACTATTAACTTCATGTCCTGTCAGAAAGACACTAACTGAATGTTTCCATATGTAACTCTTCCTGGAATCCTTTATTGCAGGTGTGTAATCCTACACTGATAATTTCCTCTTGCAGATTATTTTCTCATCTGCCCTATAGTGAGTTTGAGATCACCTTTTATAATTTTCTCAGCTTTTTCCTGGAGATAATCCATATACAGAAGATACCACAGTAGTACTACCAAACCCAGTTTCCCTTCTCTTGCAATGACTGTTTGAAAAACAGTGGAAGAAGTCAAGGGATTGAGAACCTGACTACTGGAGAATGGTATTTTTGTTCAATTAAACTTTGTTTTCCCTGTCGGGGGTGTATTTGGAAGTTATACAGACACTAAAAATATGTTCTCCAGGAAAGCTTCAAACTGCCTGCTTTGCTCAAAGCATATGGAAATTCTTGTTCCCATTCTCCAACAAACAAAAGCTCAGAGAGCCCTAAGTTTTCCTAATATTTCCAAGCAGATTCCCTATACAGAGATGTTCCCCCCGCCTTGATTATAGGGGGTTGTTTGTAGCAGAAAATAAAGAGCAAAGCAGCTGTAATTCTTTGAAAGGAAAACAGGACAGAGAACAATCTATAAAAGGCTCTTTGTGGTAATTTATCACACATGTTTATTTCTTTGCATGAAATAGCTGCGGAGCAGGACCAGCGCCAGATCCCTGTGTTGCTGTCAGAGCCACCAACACAGATCTGTTTCCATTTCCAATCTTCACTTATATTGGCTAAGACCAAGTCACGAGGCAGAAATCTCCCCTCTGCATTTTAACAACAGGCACAGTCTGACCTTGTTCCCAGAAGTGGGAACTGCACCGTTTGCTCGCTCCCCCTCCTCCCCAAGCCACAGACAAGGCACCCAGAAACAGCAGCTTGTTTTGGCTCCACAGCCTGCCATGTGCTTTCATGATACCCTGGGGACTTGTCACTGAAAAAGGCTTTAAACTCAAGAGGCAAAGCTTTGTGCAGTACCGTCCCAGGCTCTAATCCTCAGAGATCCCATTTATCTCTTGCAGAGGCACTGAGGATCCCAGTCTCCTGCCCTGCCACCAGATCACGCCATGCAGGCGGCCCAGGAGGTTCCAACCCCTGATGAAGCTCCCCGGGTGAGCACCCCAACCCCACACACTGCAGGGGCTCCCTTGTGGACACCCAGCCATGAAGCAGCGACCGTAACCCACTCGGGGTGGCAGAAGACCAGCTCATGCACCACTGGGACTGACCCATTTCCTGGAGCACTTCAGGCCACTGGCAGCTGGCAGGGGAAGGGAGTCACCTTGCTGTGACTCGTGCACGCACGTGTGTGCTCGGCAGCCAGGGCCTGTGTCAGCCAGAACGAGCTCCCCTGGCACCAGGAGCTGCTCAGGGCTCACCACCCTGGCAATGAACGTCCTTACAAAGGTCTCTGAGCCTCCCCCTTTCAGTGCTTACTCCAACCTCTCCTGGGCACAACGCAGGGCACAGTGTGTACGAGCCACGTCACCTGCAGCCTGCAAGCCGTGGAGCTGTCATCCCTATGGAATCATGGCATATGCTGAGTTAGAAGGGACACCCCAACAATCCCACCCTGTGCCTGAGAGCGTTGTCCAAATGCTCTTTGAGCTCTGTCAAGTTGGGTGCTGTGACCACTGGGAGCCTGTTCAGTGCCCAACCACCCTCTGGGTGCTTGATACCCAACCTAAACCTCCCAACTCAGCTTCATGCCATTCTCACTTGTCACACTCCCTGTCTCTGTGGGCCACAGCTGGAAGGAGCCCACAGGGTATCACCGTGTCACCACAGAAGGTGGCTCTTGGCACACCAACTGCGAGCTCCCCAGCTTGCAGGCAGAACCACAAAGTGATCTGCCAACAACCAAACTACAGCTGCTTCCAACAGTCACCAGCACAGCTATGCTGTGATGCAGGTGAAGAAGTGCTTCCCTCCCACTTTAGATTATTTTTAACCACGTTCACACGCCTCAGGTACCAAAATGCCTCTGTGCAGCTGTGCAGGGAGGCACGAGCAGCTACATCTGACTCTGGGTTGGAGAAGGCAGGCCTGAAGCCACCTCAGCTCTTTATAAAACACACTGATGTCTGGAGGGGGTGGGCTCCACCTGAGGCCTCCCTGTGTGATCTCACAGCATCACTACTTGCTTCAGACCTCCTCAAGGCTTGGATCTCTTCTGGGCAGATCTGACCTTTTTCCTGCAGTTCCTCAGCACTGTGGAACTGGCTCACTAATGAGGGCACTAATAAGTGCCTTTGCTCACTTCTTCTGGTGCTAAAAGTACACACAGTACAGCACATCCAATATATTTCCTCCTTATCCTTGCCCTCACTCCTATCATCACCAGTGGTTCTAAAATAATCTGTGACCCCTTCCTAATCACCCAGAGAGACAATAACCAACGCTGGCAGCAGCAGGGTGGGAATCCTCCCCTCTCCCACAGCAGTACTGATGTGCTCCTCTCTTCCTTGCTTTTATTTGAAGCGTGGCAGGATGACATTTGCCCCACAGTTCCTTGGGACCACAGCCAAGGCTCCCAGTGAAGAACACCCCATACAAAGGAGAGAGCAACATCTGCACAGAGTTTTGAAAGCTTTGAATACACGAAGGCAACAGCAGCAGCAAAATCACAGTACACGGAGTGCTCTCGAAACCCAGCCTCTGCCAAATTTAGGTCTCAGGAGTTCAGCCAGTGTCTAAGCCTTGTTCAGCCAGTGCCTAAGCCCTATTAAATTAGTGGTAACTTTAATAGGAAGTTTTACTTCAACAGCAAGTTCAAGGTAGCGCAGTCCACATCTGAAAGTTTTTGACCACAGCTCAAAAAACATCAGCGCTTCCCAGACTTGTTTTCTGGGCGACTTTCCATGCAGCCCTGTTTCAGCCATGCTGACAACAATCAGGGTAATGAGGCAGAAAATAAAGCAGTTATTTGGAGAATGATACTGCTTCTGCCTCCAGGCAAAAAGAACCCCAAAATGTAGAGATCCAGCTGACAGTTGTTGACCAAAGCTTTCCATACAATCCATAAACTAAACATATCCAAGAAGGCTGCACAGATGGAGCTGGACACATTCAACAGTGCAGCATTTCTAAGGAAACCTGCAAAGGACTCTCACCCTTCTGAAAGCAAAAGCTTTTTGTGCTCAAGAACAACCATTCTCCCGAGGCGAGATGCAAACTGCACTTGCAGAAAGCTGGTCATACCCAGCTGCAAAGGGTTTGTGCCCTGCTGATTCTTCCTGCAGTATGTCAATGCTAAATCCAGTGCAAACACATGTCCAGCCTCTGCCAAGTAGCTGAGCACTGCATGTACAGGCATATGACAATGTGGGTCTCAGACAAAAACACTTCCTTTTTACTCCCCAACCTTCACCTGAGATACAAGGGGCAGGTGAAAAAACAGGACTGGGGAAAACAAGCCTTGGAATAACAACCTAGTTCTCAGTCCCAAGGGTGACTGACCCTTTGTACCAAACACAAACACTGTGCTATTCAAGCCACGGGCAGAAGATCCACTTTGCTCTTTCCTCCCAGCCCAGCTCACAGCCACAGTAAGGGACAGAACAGTCAGGTAATAACTCTTCACTTACCGTGAGCGATGTGAAGGTCATGCACATCCCACCAAAGCCATTCAGAGCCAGTGCAATGAATATCAGCACAGACAGAGCTGCAACAATAAAAAACCTGCCCTTAGCTTTCACTAGGGTGGGGAGGGAAAGGAGAAAAGAGCCCTGAGGGCTTTGGCCCTGACACACAAAACCGTCAGTGGATCAACACCCTCAGGACATGTCACGCTGTTCTTGACCCAGCACCCATCTCCCCAGCCACACAGACCAGGAGGGACAGGGCTTTCCTCCAAAACTGAGTTCAGGATGGGATCATCTTTCCCCAGAATGGAAGGGTTTCTTTTCTCTGAGGAAAAGACTTGCTGATTCAGCTTGTCTGATGGGTCTTAAAAGGAAGATTTACTTGAAAGAGCTGGATTCAAAGTGTCATGCCGCTATCTGGTCTTGAGGAGCAAGCTCCATCTATCCCTGGCAAGAAAACAATTTACACATTGTGTGCTATTACCTATTTCCCAACCCTGAAAAAGCCATGAACTTGTTTGCAATTACTCCTTTACAGGACCTGTCCCTGCCCGACCACAAAGCTAAGAGACCTGGGTATCTCAGACATTTGGCCCTTGACTGTGCTCTCCACTTTAATGTTGTGAAACATCAGCCCTCCCCAGAGCCACTTGGCTCCCTCAGGCTGGCAGAGGCTTGGCTCGTGTCCTCAGCAAGACCCTAGTGCAGCACTGGGGGTGTGACAGCCCGAACACACTCGTCTGCTTCCCCAAAAACCCCAAGCCACAGCCCCAGAGTCCTCCCGGCTCAGCAGAGAGACACTGACTTACAGTCTGGGTTACTGGCACCGTACGCGATCAGCACACAGGACACAGCAAAGCAGGCACTGAAAGGGAACCAGACCCATGAGTTTCTCACAGACAGCCTTAAATGCAGTAAAATTCATCTGCCTCCTTCTCCTCAGCGCCTCGTTAAGCAAGTGCAGTGTAATTTCTGTGAGAGGGAGGGAAGCTGGCAATCTGGGAAGAAAAATCCAGGGAAATACCCAAACGTTACAGACAAACAAATATTACAGGCGAGCCTTGCACAAGGGCTGAGGCAGGAACCTTTCCTCCCAGTAATGACGCAGCTCTGCCTGGACTCAAATTCCCCACAGAGCTTTGCCAGCCCTCACCCCGAGGTGACCAAAGACAGCAGCAGCCTTTGTCTTGAGCCCCAGCTGTGGTCACAGCACTCACAGCTCCTCTCTGGTAGGGTCTGAGTCAGAGACTTGCCCTGTTTTTCCCACTCTGCCTACAGACCAGTTTGGGTTCTGATCAAGTTCACTGCATTAAAATCGTGACAATTAAAACAGTGCTGGGGTCCACTGAGCCCAACAAGTCACTAATCCCTACATGCCACGATGGAAGCAGCTAAGACCTTGTTATTTAAGGCATAAAGCAACATACACCACATGGAAGAGAAGGGCCCTAGAAAAGGCAACAGGATGTGTTTATTCCCAAGTTAACTCCCCAGCCTGCAAACAATGATGTAACATCTTGGTTTTGTGCCTCTCAGGACACAGCTCCCAGCTCAAGGAGAAAGCTCCCCTCCATGACTCACAAATGACTCTCCCTCCAGGCTCCATCTGGACGGGGATCACAGAGCAACACTGGAGAGCAGAAGTGTGGACATGGAGTTCCAGGCCCTTCCCTTTATGGAGCAATTCACTGTGCTGGCTGAAAACATCCCAGCCCTGTGCACGGCCACCAGCTACCAGCAGATCCCATCCCTCACACTCTTCCCAATGCTGCAGGGACACCACAACAGGCACAGCACCCAAACAGCACCCATCTGGCCCAGACAAAGTGGGAATTCACCCCTCAGCCCACCCGGGGAGCCCAGGGCACCCACCTGCCAAGCAGCCGCAGCTTGCGAGGGCCGTACTTGTCCATGACAATTCCCAAGGGCAGCGTGATGGCACTGAGCAGGAAGGACCCGATGGTGAAGGCCAAGTTCAGCATTTCATCCTGGGCGTTGCAGGAAGGCCACTTGTGCTCTGAAGCTGTGCTGTTCTCGTGTTCAGAGCTGTTGTTGGTGTCCTCTACACGGGGTGAGAGAGGAATGTGCATTAGGATGGGGTTTGCAGCGTTTCAGGAAGGAGGGAAGAGAAAGGCTCCGCACACGGGGTGGCACAACACGCTGGGCATACAGCCTCCACATTCCATTTTTTATTATAATCAGTGAGAAGTGGAGAAGGAGAGCAGCAGAAGGACAAGGGAAACCTGAGCAGGAAAAGGATGCACAGGCACCCAGGGGATAGGCATCCCATGCAGCAGCAGGGTAAAAACCTAACAATGGAGATTCATTAATTTATTGAAACAACTATACAGCAAGGGCCTGACAATTACAGGGGACTAAACCCAGCAGAACCTGAAGGGACTAACACAAAAATAGGTTCCTCCTAATTTACAGCTGTCATGTTCTCATCACAGATTTTTCCCTAACAAAACTAGTGACAGCTACAGTCAAATCAGTTATTTTGGTTCCAGACACTGGGCTGACAAGGCCTGGCACTGAGCAACAGCCTGCTCAAATGAATAGCTTCCTACCCTCACTGCAGGCATCAGGATGAGGAATGGCTTTGCAGTAGCCACCCTGCTTTGGCTGCCCTGGCTCTGAAAAATCCTTCCTGGATTTAACTACCCTGCTCCCAGGAGGGCTGGCAGCTCACCTGCCTTCCCCATTTGTTAAAGGATTGATGCATCTTTAACTCTTGCCCCATAATTAGCATTTTCTATTCTTTCAAAGTGGGTTTAGGTCGTACAGATCAATAATAACTCCAGCCTTCTGTTCTTGCCCTTACATGAGGAACTCTGCATGCAAACTCCCACGCTGAACAGAGCCCACGTTGTGTAACCGAGACAGAAACAGGATAGTTTAAAAAAAAAAAAAATGAAAGGAAAGAAGTTCCCTTTTACTGCCTCATGTCAACTCTTCTCCTGTTACATGCCTACCCCAAGGTTGCATACAACTCCTTAAGTGAGTACATGTGCCTTTAGACTCTCATCAACCCACAGCTCCAGTGCACTCCACCTCTCCTTCTCCCAACACTTATCTGACTCTTAAGTAACCTTTGCTGGTATGACAAAGCACTTGCTCTCTTGCTGCTGCAAGCCAGTGATATAAAATACTCTCCTCCATATTTAATAACTCATCTGACAAAGTTCAATATTAAAGGAGGAATAGGGAGAGAAGTCACCTACATAACCATCAGCATGCAGTGAGACTAGAGATTCCCAGTGAGCCCAGGTTAGTTAGTTAATTAGCAGGAATCCCTCACGTACAAGTGATTTCAGATTCACTGCTTGGTGTGGCTCGTAGAGGAGATTCCCTTGGCTGCTCTTGCCCTCCCTCCATCTCTAGAGATCACACAGCCCCATCTTGCAACTCCTCCTCTTCTACCCAAGCCTCAGCACCACTACAGTTACTGGCTGCACCCTGCCTCTCCCAGCTGCCCAAAACCACCCTCCCAGCTTTGTGTCCACTGTAAACAAACCTCACTCCACCTTCCAGCCATCGGGTATCAGCAGGAATTCAGCTGATATCCAAGGCTTTTGAGCTGCCTGCAAACCTTCCTCTGTCCCCTCCCAGCACTCCAGGGAAGGCAGAGGCATTTCTCTCCATGTACATTGTTCCCACCAACATCTTTGCTAAGATGGTCTCAAACTGCCTTCAGGCAGCAATGACTGTTCCTTCCCATTGCCATGTGCTCCTGGTTGATAATTTAATCTGTCCCTTCTCTTGCCCTGCTACTCGTGGATAGTCTGAGTAAGCAACAAATATCCCCAAAACACCACATGTCCCACCAGCAGCATCACTTTGGCAGGGAGGGCAGCACTGCAGCCTGAGGTTCCCAAGTCACATCCTTAGAAGTCTGTCCTGGACAGACTTGGGAGTCTCTCTGCAGTTTTCACGCTACATCTCAATCTTTTTCAACCATCTTTCCCTCACAGTCTCCTCTTGGTGTGGCCCAGGATCTTAAATACTGACTTGAGACAGCAGCTATGTAAGGCAGGCACAGGCTCACAGCTTCACCCACAGCATCAAGGCTTTTTGGGCTCTCCACAAAGATAAATTCATAGGAAACAGATGTGGGTGAGAGGTTAAACTTGGGAAAACAAGGGGAGAGGGAGAATTGAGAAAGTAGTAGCAGTTTCTCTGTGTCAGCACTGTACAGAGATAGCTCAGCTGTGGAGTGGAAGAAGGGTGGAGGGCCATGAACAGTGCAGTGACCTTTTAACTCCTGGCTGCGTGTGTTAAAGCATCTGTAACCCTCCACAGAAAAAGATCTCAAAACAGAAATATTCAGTATTTAAAGCTGGAGTATATGAATTCCTGAAAGTGTATTGCTGTGTACAGCAGTGACATGATCCCAAGGAGTTCCCACACACACCTGCAGATCCTCCGATGACACTCATGGTGGGCACCAACACCAGGAGGTGAAGAGGGCACAGCTCAGAAACTTGGCCCTCTCCAAAGACTTGCTGCAGCCAGGAAAGCTTGGAATAGGGCACAAAACTTCAGTCCCTGCCTGTACCAACCACCTTGTTTACGGCTGCTCAGTGCCAGCTCCAAGGAGGGGCCAGGCAACAGTGCTATGTGGAAATACAAATTGTTTGTGAAAATAGAAGCAGCCTCTGAGCAACAAGAGAAGATCCACTGAGGCGTAATGGAAATGATTCAAGCAGCCCTTGGCACCCTGACATGCTCTGATCCTTTGAGCCACCTCCATAAATAGAACATTTTGGAGGGGCTGCAGGTGTTTGCAGCACACACAAGGTCCAGCCAGGAGCTGTCTCTTCCAGCAGCACAGATTCAGGTGCCAGCAGGTCATCAGCACAGGAGAGTGAGTGGCAGCACAGGACATGCAGGAGGAGTTTAATGGGCAGAGAACCTGCCTAACTACTCACCTACCTAAGGCACCTGGTTACAGCAAACAGCAGTTCCCTTCAATCACAGATCCTGTTCCAGATCAGTGCACACCACACTCCTGGGGAAAGTCTCCTACGTGCCTGGCTCCCTCTGCAGCAGTGCTTTGGGGAAGGGCTGGCTCTGTGCCCACAGTGGTGCCCTCCCCAAATTCTCTTGCCAAGTCCACCTGCCAGGTCTGACAGGCAGGAGAGACACCCGGGCAAGGAGCAGCAGAGAGGCTGAGCACGCTCACCGCTGTCTCACTGACAAGCCAGAAGAAGCTGCGAGTCTTCACCAGCAATTACAAGAACATGCTGCCTATTTTTACAGCACTCCCCATACAAGCAGCAGGATTTCTACTGCCCAATTAGTAGTTCAAGTTACTATTTAAGGAATGACAGCTTAGGTGAGAACAAGGCTGCCTCGGTAATCATTTATGTCAAGATCATCACTGAGATTTGTTCAGGCTGGAACATTTAAAGTCACCCTTTCTCCCAAATTAGGTGCTGTAGGTTCCATGAGAGGGTCAATCATTAACTACTCTTTACTGACCTCTTCAAATCTCAGGCACACACACCACATTACCAGAGGAACAAGTCTGGCTTTTTCTCTTGCCATCTCGGATGGCAGAGAGGAGGTTTCCTTTCATCTTGTTTCATGGATCAGACTGTGCCAAGCAGGCAAGACACCCCCAGCCACCCTGGCAATAGCTCTGTGGAACCAAGCTTGCACACCCTCACTTTCCTCCTCTTTTTTTATATTTAAAAAAAAGAGAGAAAAAAAAAGGAGGGAAAAAGAGAGAAATCGGGGCCAAAGAACTGGGAGTACTGGTTAAAAAAAAAATATCACCATGAAAGACATGTGCAAACAACTGATCTGCAGTCTGCCCACATAAGAACATGTTTTGTCTTTTCAGGATGGTGTCATACTTCTGGGAACTGGGAGGAGATGTTCTTGCTTTCTACTGCAAATGCAATTTATTCGGGTTTCCCTGTCCCTCCACTTGCACTTCCAGGACCCCCTCTCTGGGCACCCAGCTGAAAACCCCACAGAGCCAAGGCACAACCTCCAGTCAAACTCCCTTCCTTCCCCAGCTGTGGTTTCCTCTTTGCAGCACCTTCCCCTGCAGCTCTGCGCTCCCCCGGCAGCTGCTGATCGGCACAGTGTGTTTCCTGTACAAATTGAACATTTACCACGTTTTCTCTCTTCCTGTTTACAGGGTCACCTGTGCAGCCTTTCCACAAAGCGTTGCTGTATCTTCTCAGCTTGGAAGGGACCTTCAGACTGCAAATTCCCCATCACAGGTTCCAAATAAGAGGAAAGAACTGCAAGGCAGCACCTTCCCCCTATGCCTGTGTTAAAGCTCGTTAACTTGCCGTAAGTGAATTAGCTTATCATCCCTTTGGTATTCTGCAGCCCTGTCTTAGAGGAAAGCCCTCTGTGCCCCTTATCTCTGCTCTTTGTGAGCAGATTATCAAGTTCAGGACTTTTTTTTTTTTTTCAAACATGTTTCAGACCCAAGCCTTGAGCTTCCCAATCCCAGAAACATCACAGCAATGCAAGACCCTGAACTGATCAAATTCCCCAAGAGCTGATAAAGCCCAAATCCCGATAAAGACTGTGGAGTCAGCACTTGCACAGAATAAAAGATGCTGCATCAGTTGGTTAAAGGCCAAGTAGTAGTGTAGTAAAATTAAAATGGGAACAAAGTGCTACTACCAGACTCCTTGTCAGCGAATTTCAAACATACCTCTCAGGAGGTGGCCAAACTGGTACAACCCCCCACTCAAACCCTGTTGCACAACTGCTTTGCAAATATTTGTTATTTTGGATTTTTTTCCTAGGTGTCCACCTCCACTCTCAGGCAATTGAGTTGAGAGTCCATTGGACCCCACATTTGTACAGTGGCTGAGTAAAATCCAACACCAGAAGGTAAGGGCAAGCAGGGAAAGTGGGTGATTCAATATGAAGACAAGGAGCCCTTCATGAACTGCAGCCACTTTCTGGGCAGCTGCTGTTACCTTCAGAGAAGAGCCTGCAGAAAGGACAAGGTCTAGTTTTCCCTTTCATTGGACAGCATCACAAAGTGCAAGAGCTTTTGCTGACAAACCAAAAGCCCTGCCAAGAACCTTTGGCTCATTAGAAAAAGTCTATTTTTTTTTTTGCAATACTTACATGCACACAGCAGCATTAGGAACAACAAGTGCCCAAAGGCTACTAGTTATAATTTGTTTGCACCAGCCTTCCAGCCAAGCACCCACTCTGGCTGCAGGATTCAATAGGTTGCCCTGAAAAAAGGCAACCACTGGGGCATCCTAATCCCAGCAAAGGTCAAACTCAGCTTGAGGCTGGTCATTGAGAGCTTGCTCTCCCCACACTTGGAGCCGGGACCCCACCAAATCGTTACAATGAGGACAAAAACAGAGAAAGGAAAGTGAGTAAGCATGGGTGAATGTGCTGCTCATCACAAGTTCAGCAGTGATGGCCAGATATTTGAGGACAAAGAGAACAATTTGACCACATAAATTTCTTTTCAAGGATTAGGTTCTTTTGCCTCAGGGCAAAGGTTGGACACTGGGAGGAAGCAATTACCCCCAGGGCAGAAATTTCACAGCAGCCCAAACATTTGCATCTTCCCTATGGTCTGTGGGCTTTCCCACGGGGAGAGCCAGAAAAGCCACAGATTAGCAAATAGGGGTGAGAAGCCGAGGTGATGAACTGAAAGCCATCAAAGAGCAGGAGGTGAGCCCCAAGTGAAGCTCTTGTCAGCAGAGCACATCTCAGGAAGCAGACAGGCAAATGCCTGCTCTCAGAGACAGTCAGCATTTGCTTATCAGCTCTCATGTGCTTTATCTCGGTGGCAGAGTCTCCACCTGATGGGTTTAACGTGATCTCTTACATAGGCCTATGACAAAGTCTCCACGATTTGGAGAGCACAGCTCTGAACAGAAGCCCTACTCAGCCTCCAGCTGCTGAGGACTCTCCTCACAGTCTGCAATGCTACTGGAGACCTGAGTGACACACTTGGAAGCACCTCACTGTGAGCTGAGCACAGGATGGAGATCAAGCAGCCAAGCTATGGCTGGTAGAAGACTCAAACACGTGTTTACCAGGTGCACCAGACCAGGCTCTACAGGACTTAGGCAGCCACCCTCAGGCACACAAAGCAGGAGAGATAACAAGCAGCTGATGAATGAGCAAAACCCAAAGAACCATCACAGCCATTCACAGTCACCTTTTGCTTGGACTTCCTTTCCCACACTTGAGGTTTCCCCCACTATTCTCAGCCATCACCCACTGTGGGTCCATGTACTTATTTCCAACTCTCTTTCTTCCCCTACTGCTTCCTCCTCCAGCCCCAAAGGGGCTGATCCAGTCTAATCCACCACCACACATCTCTGGATGGAACCCAAACACCTCCTGCCTCTCTTCACTCTGCTCTTCCCTTCTCTGAACACATGCAAAACTTCAGTCAGTACAGCAGCTTCCAAATCCACACCACACTTTTACCTTCAAGCTCCTTTTAACCTCACTGTCCACCCTACCACACTGTGGGATTCCCCAGACCACAGTTCTCCCCGTGCCCAGGCTGGGGATATATATCTACCTCCAGGTTGTTTTTCCCAGGGTTATCCTTCCCACACCATGATTGCCTCTTCCCTTCCAGGTTGTGTCTGCAACATGGACAGATACTTCCTCTGCCTGGGGCAGAGAGTGAATCTCAAGAGACAACAGCCTGGTTTGAGCACATCCTGGGTGCTTGAAGAGGAACAGAACATCAGCAGCATTTACTTCTGCAAATTATTCTTAACAGCAGCACTGGACTCCTCTAATCTTATCGCCACTCACACTACTTTCCTCCCTACCACTAAGAACAAAGTGCCTACATAGTTCCTCCTATAAACTCGGGACACCCTGCCCACCAATCATCATCCTCCAGAATCCATCCAGCCTTTCCCTGCAGAGGAAGAACTCACGGTCAAGTGGAAAAGGCCATCCAGAAAAGCTTTACTTAATCATTAAAGCTTCTTTTTCCAATCACTCTGCAGAGCAACAGCAACTACAGGCACATTGCACCACCACAAGAATGCCACTGGTTTTGGAAAAGAGCACACATCCCTTCCTTCTATCCCAGCACTGACACTGAGCTCAGCCCTGCTGCAGCCGGTTCCACACCATCCTAAACCAGGGAAATCACACCAGCAAAGCTCAGCAGCAACTTATTCACACGAGCCCCCAGAGCATCCTTACCTTGCCCATAGCACAGGTAGGAATAAAACCCTTCTGCCTTCAGCATGATGAGGAGGGACCCCCAGCCCAGCAGGACAGCAGAGAAGAGCAGGTTCTCGACGATGGCCGTGGACGCCATCCACCAGCGCCGGCGGTGGGCCGTGGCAAGTGTGGGGGCCATGGCTGCTTGGGGAGGTAGCCTTCTTCAGTCTCAACCTGCAGGGACCAGAACAACCTTCAGTGAGTCCACAGACACAGCACGTGCTGCTCAAAAAGTGTTAAAATTGAGTACGGTTTGACAGGAAACCTCTCTAGAAGCACGCGAGCAAACCTGCCCGCCGAGTGTCAGGCACTCGGGTGTAAAACTAGTTTTTGCAGGTACCAGCTTGCCAAGTGACCTGGAGGGATGGGGGAGCACAGGTGCCCTTGGAACAGCCCCTCCAGTGGACACTCCACATGACACAGGAGCACTCAAGGACTCTGTTCCACTTCCTGAGCAACAGGTATGAAAATGCAGCAAAGAGCAACTGCCCCGAGCCCACCCTCCATCACCTGTACTGGGCAGGCAGCTCATTGATAAGGCAGTGAGGAAACACATGCCAAAGTGGGGGGGTTTCAGCCAGCACCCCAATCTCCCTGCTGCCAGCAGGCAGAGGCTGGGACACAGCCCCACATCCCTAATGGTGGCTTTAAACTATCCCACAGCTCTGCTCTGCCCCACATAGGGCACAGATCTGCTCTGGAATGTGAGTGAGGGTCCTAAACATGCAATTTATACCACCCATGGCTCATCAAGGAGTGCCTTTTGCTACCTGCCAGACCATCCAGCTGGGACACAGATCACTGGCATCTCCAGGTTGCCCCACAGATGCTGTGGCCAGATTAACTGTCTCCACTTGTCCCAGTCCCTGGGTCCCATGGGAGCGAGCAGCAGATTTGGGAGCAGACCTGGCTGGCCAAGGGGCAGCTCTGGGGAGCCCTGAGGTGGGGGGCAACCCTTGGGTCACAAGGCAGGTGACCATTTTAGAGAAGCTGAGGCTTTTCCCAGCCTGAGCACATCTCAATCCGGCACAATGGGGAAACCAGCTGGCCACACACCTGGCCAGGACAGCTTCCCAGGGTTTTCTTTCCATAGGGCACAGGCCCCAGCCCGAGGTGCTTTGGTGGGATGGGGGTCTGACCCAGCTCCCTGCAGTGGTGCCCCTTCCAGCTACGGAAACTGGTTCAAAGATCACTGCCCTAAAAGCCAGTCTGCAGCCCTGCCCCCCCATACCCAACCACCCACGGCACAGGCCCCAGCGCAGCCCACGACGCGTTTCCTTCATCACCTCTCCTCCTCTTCCTCATCGCTGCACCCGCAGCCTCCTCCCCAGTCCCAGTACCCTTCTCCAGCCCAGAGCCCCTCTCTGCGACAAGAGGTGCATCCCCGCTCTCCCCCTACCAGCCGCCCCCAAAGCACACCCCATTTTCCCCAGCACACCCCACTCATGCTCTGCACCACCCCCGTGCCCCAGCTCCCCCGAACAGCCCCGCTGCATCCCGCTCCCCATGCAGACCCCCCCCCCACCACCACCCGGCTCTCCCCATCCATCCCCTCTCCCTCCGCTGCCTGCCATGAATCCCCCTATGCACCCGCGTACCCCTATACACCCTATTACCCCCCAGTCCCCCTCTCCTTCCCCGCAGCCTCCCCCCCCAAAGCACCCACCGACCC